AATACTTAGCTTTCACTTTTTCATCTCAGTAAAAATAATGACATCATAAAACAGGAAGATGCTCATTGTGCAGTTAGTAGTCCATGTATTTCAGAGCATGTCACCACAATAAGATGCCTTGGACCCATCCTCCCACTCTTAGTTGGAATGGGATTGGACCTTAATGTACTCGTAGGTAACATATATGATATATATATATACACACATACATGTATATCACACACACACACACACACACACACACACACACACACACGTTTGCTGAGAGGCAGTATAGCACAGTCATTGAACATATAGTATTTTGAGTTAGGCTGCATGGGCTTGAAACGTCTTTCACCAACTTTACTACTTGTGTGACCTTAGGCAAGCTACTTACTCAGTTTCCTCTTCTGAGAAATAGGGATGAGAATAATAATTCCTAGCCCAGAGTTATTAAGGATTTAATGAGTTAACACATAGAACATTTTTAGCAAAGCTCCTGGCACTTAATTAATAAATACTTAATGCATTGTAATCGGCATTGTTATCATTATTATTCACAATATATTTTCATATAGTCATATGTTTCCATATTTTAAGCAGCTAAATACCCCATCTCATTCTTCTCCATTGTTTCTCTCTGAGTTTGTTACCAGGTCAAACTAGGCAGTCTGTGAGTATTCGTGCAGCTGCTGTAGAAGCAAAGGCATTGCTCTTGCTGTACGGAGGGCAGGTTCCACTTCTCACTGCTGAAGCCCTCACCTGTTCACTCCCTAACGCTGTACTGCAGATGTGTGTCCTGTTCATGACAAAGGCCCCTAGGAGACCAGAGAATTCTCGATAGATTAAGACTACCTTTATACTGAGTAATCTGGCAGTCGATTAAAAAAAAAGATTACCACACTCTTAAAAATATCCTATTTGGGGAAAGCTGTGTTTTCTTACCAGGGTAAATTTTTCCTGGCATTTATATATAGCCACAAACACACAATTAATTTATGCACCTGTTCAAGGAATGCATGATTAATTTAAAAAGTTCATGTGAAGTGAAGAAAATGGAGTTATCATGGGGTTTTATTTTTGAAGAAGAAAATGACAGAGGTTAAATGGGCATTTCTCTGAAGCAAGAAAGATAAAATACTCCCAGAGTAAGTTCTTAGACCAGCCTTATTTATATAATGCCATGGTTAAGAGCACTGGGCTTTGTATGTGAATACTTAGCTCTGCCACTGCCAGCTCTGTGACCGTGGGGGAAAATCATCTGACTTCTCTGTGTCTTAGTTTCCTCCTAGAGTAGCTATGAAGATTAAATAGAGGAAGGTTAGCCAAATGCTTAATGCACTAACTACTTTATAATAAATGCACAATATAGGGTAAAATATTTCTTCATCCATGATCATTATGTTTATCATGATCACCAGCATCTAAAAATTATCTGAAGGAAAGGACTACACAGTGGGATTTCCAACTTTGCAGGTGATAACAAAGGGTTAAGTTGATGGACATAGACCACAGGAAATGGGAAAAGAAGGGGCAGGTATGGAACAAAAAACATCACGAGGGGTGGGGTAACATGTTTCTACATATAAATACTGGGAAAGACCTGGAAAAGGGGAGAAGCCAATGGAGAGGGCTCCCTGAGAACAGAGACCAAGATGGCTGCTGAACCAAGTCCGTACGGTCAAGTTTTGACAGCATAATGCTAGATTTAGTGGATCCTCTGACAAGAAAGTCTTGGGTTTCGTTTTGAAATGAGCCTTCCCATTACCCACCGCCTCTTATTCTTTATCAATTCCTGTTTAGCTCCTTTTCTGATTTTCCTATGGCTGTGGCTCTAGAGTAGACACTTGTTAGAATAAAAATGTTGCCACTGTATCTCTCAACGAGGTCATTGTACCCTAAAACTCCAATTAATTCAGGAGAGAGGGATATAGAAGCCACTGGAGCCAAGAGTGAGTGGGCCAGGAGCTGAGATGCAGCTAATTGAGTGGAAGGAGAAAGCAAAATAGGTTGATTGAAAGCTGAATGCCCCGTGGGCACCTTGTGTTCTATCTTTCATTTGGTTCAGGCCCTAGTTTCTGCCCTGAAACAGATTATTCCAGGTTTCTTTTCTAAATGGTGTTAAATCACCGAATTAATTCCCCAGTATAGCTTTTTCTTTTCACAGTCTTGTCTCTGTATTAGCCAACTAACTCATGCCCCATATTATAAAAGCAGAGACAAAAATCTGGGTCTGAGGGTTATTTCCATACCATCGGGTTTATGTTGAAGGGGGGGGGGACTTGAACAGACTGGGAGGGGGGACATGGGCATTTCAGGGCTATTGAACCAGGGAAAGAGGCTGGAGAGGGCAGAGCTAGCTCTCAGGGTCAGAATAAACCAGCTGACTGGTTCGTGGAACAAAAGAGCATGAGATGAGGCTGGAAAGCTAGGTTTGTTCATTAGCAGTAGGTAGGCTTCAGGTTTGAAAACAAAGTTTTTCTTAAAAAAAAAAAAAATGAGCGCCTGCTGTGTGCCAGCCTTGTACCCCAGAAAGAAGGTAGCAAGGAGGAACTCAATGAAAGAACATTCCTTAAGGAGACAGAAAATAGAAAAGAAAATAACAAACTCCAGTCAACATTAGAAATACACAAATAAATTAGGGGAAAAAAAAGAAATACACAAATTGGACTATTACAAGGCTCTGAGTATCAGCACGTGGAGGAATGGGAAGAGAGTCAGACACAGAGTAAAGAGCTCTTAGGCCCACGGAGGGCAGCTTAGGAGTCAGGCTGTTCTGCTGAGTAGCCCCTTGAAATTCTCATTCTTCAGGCTTCATAACAGAGTTGAGCCGACAGCTTAATGGTGTCAGGTGGTGAGAGTGAAGGACAGGAGAGAATGGGCGAGGAAAGAATATAAAAACACTGGATATAGAATTCTGGACCTATTTCACATTTGGTTTAGATTCAGATTCCAAGACACCAGACCTCTGAGCCTCTGTCTCCTAACTTAAGCACCTCAGTTTTACTCAACTCCTCTTCACCAGGACCCTCGACACTTTCCACTGCACAGATTCCTGGCCTTGGGGCCCCTCTGGGTTCTTCCTGCAGCAGACAGACCCTTCATAGACTCCGTTTGAAGGAAACCAAACAAAAACCAAAATTGAAAAGAAGGCAGGCTCTTCCTTTGATGCTTGCTGTGCTCGTTTTGTGTTAGCCTCTCTTAGTTTGTAGGCAAGTAAATAGACTAAATATTTTGCTTGGTTTATTTTCAATACATTTTCTGATAAATGACTTATAGCCAGCATATATTAAGAACTCTCACAAATCTGTAGTCAAAAGATAAGTAGCCTAGTTTTTGGAAAATAGGCAAAAGACTTAAAAGACACTTTACAAAAGTAGACACACATGGCGAACAAGCATACAAAAATGTGCTCACCATCATGAGTCATCCTAAAACCATCATGAGATATCACTGCACACCCACTAGGATGACTAAATTTAAATAGACTGATAATACCAAATGATGGCGAGGTTGGAGAGCAACTGGAACTTTCATAAGTGCCTATTAGGAATGTAAAATTCCTATTGGGGAATCAACGTACACTTACTTTATGACTCTATAAATGCACTTCTAGCTAACTCTCAAGAGAAATGGAAACCTGTGTCCACAGACAGACTGGTATAAGAACTTTCACACAAGCCTTATTCATAATAACCAAACACTGGAAACAACCCAAAAGTCCATCAGCCGGAGAGTGGATAAGCAAATGGTGGTATAGCTATTCAGTGGAGTACCACTCAGCAGCAGGGAGGAACAGACACACAGTATGGATAAATCTTAAATACAGAATGTGGACACAAGAAGCCAGACATAAAAGAGTACATACTGTACGATGTCATGTGTATGAAATCCAAGAATGGACTAATCTACATCTGTCATGACAGAAATCAGGAAGTGATACCTGAGTTGGGGGGTGGGGGCAGGAACCAACTGGGAGGGGGCAACAAGTGGACTCCCTAGAGTGATGGAAAGGTTCATATTTGGTTTTGATAACCACATGGGTGTATAAAATTGTCAAAACTCAAAGAACTAATGCTTAAAATATGTGTGTCTTATTGCATATAAATTATACTTTACTTTTTTTAATACAGGAAGGAAAAACATATTCCTAGCCCTAGTCTATACATGCCTAGTCATCCTATAAATTATCTCTTATAAATCAGTTATCTCTCTTCTCAATTTAACTCCTTTCTCTAGTTAGAGAATAAAGTATTTTTTCAAAGTTGGATACATTAAAAACCTGTTTTGCCTGCTAACCTGATCCCCTAGGGTTCCCCACAATAAGTAGATACTAGGTTTCCTGCTGAGTCCAGTGGGTCCCATAGTTGGCCTGAATGAGGTGGGGACCCAGACAGTGAAGGTGGTATTTTCCCCCCATCTCTGTATCAAAGATAGCAGCTATACTTTCAATGAAGAAAAGCCTTGCTGTTAGACAAAAAATGTGATCTGGTGCCCCAGACAGCAGCCCCTCATGCCAGACTGCTTGCCGCTCCCATCCCAGCCTGTATCGCCCCAGCACAAGAGATCAGAGTGCCACCTCCCAGCTGCCTCCAGCTGCCCTTCTCCTTCCCTTTGTCCCCTGATGCTCCTGGAGCAGCAGCACTTGATAACTGGGAAGTGTGTGCCACACGTCAGCTGGGATGAGGCCCAGCATAAGGAAAACCGCTAAGCTGGGACTCTGGGATATGTGCTTAGGATGCTGGGACGTACTGCAACTGTTTGACCTGGGTGAGGTTTTTATTTTCTCTCCTTGGAAAAGAGGGTGAAGTCCCTGTGCCATTGCCTTCACAGGGCTGTCATGGGGGTACATGAGATAGCGGACCTGAGAAGCGCACTAGCAAAGTTTTTATTTGATACATATATCGGGTGGGATTATTATCCAGTTCGGGACTTCTGAGCTCCTCTCTGGGAATGATTGCAGAGGTCGTGAAGGAAGTGTCGGATTCAGCAAGCCTGTACTGATGGTCATTCCCTCACAGGTGACAGCAGAGCTAGACGCCTGGAATGAGGACTTGCTCCGGCAGATGAATGACTTCAACACGGAGGACCTGACGCTGGCAGAGCAGCGGCTGCAGCGCCACACGGAGCGGAAGCTGGCCATGAACAACATGACCTTCGAGGTCATCCAGCAGGGCCAGGACCTGCACCAGTACATCATGGAGGTCCAGGCCTCGGGTAGGTGGCCTGTCCCGTCCTTCTTCTCCTGGCAGGGAGGTGATGAAAGCAAGAACACCAGCTTGACTCCAGCGGGCACTTCCACTCTTATCCATTCATTTTATTCCTATAGATACAAGGAACAGCGTTTTGCCTCTGTTTTAAGGAAAAAGAAACTGAAACATAAGAGCTGAAATAACTTGTCCAAGGTTGCCCAGTTAGGCTGTGGTAAAGGTGGGAATAAGACCAGGGCCTCTTGGTGCTGCAGAGAGAATGGGAAAAGTCAATGATGAAAATTAGTACAGACTAAAACAAAAAACAACAAAACAAAACAAAACAAAACAAACAAACAAAAATGGTAGCCTAGAAAAAACAAACCAGGCTGACTTCAAAAGCAGTCAGCCATCCATGTGAATTGTATTCAGTGCGTAAATTTCCACTCTTCTAGCCCCTCCTCCCCTCACACACTCGCCTGCCCTGTCCTCCACCCCCAGGGCTGCCTCCCTGTCTCCTGTTCATGCCTCTCAGAGTCCTGTTTTTTTATCACGCGTCTGTGCATAAGCATAGGAAGTGTTGATAAAAATTTATGGCAAGGTCATATTATTTTATAACTTCTCAAAAAAACATGGCTGACAGGGTGGCCAGTTAGCTCAGTTGGTTAGAACATGGTACTAATAACACCAAGGTTGCCTGTTTGATCCCCGCATGGGTCACTGTGAGCTGTGCCCTCCTTAAAAAACAAACAAGCAAACAAACAAACAAAAAGTATGGCTGAGTTCCCCATGTTTGATTTCTTTTCCTGCTTGGGGTTTATTCACTATTTATCCCTCAAATGCATGAGCCCTGACTGTTACACCCGCCACTCTCTAAATTGTCCTTTGATGCCAGAGCTGGAGAGAGCCATAGTGGTCCCCTGCCCAACAAGTCCAGAAACAACAAGTCACTTGTCTGGGCACATACACCCACTCTCACCCATTGCCCTCCTCCCCAGGTCCTCATTGGCTCAGGATCCTCCCCCTCCAGGAGGAGGCAGGCAGGCTCAGGCCATCAACTCTTTAAAACATCATTGGTCCATGTCCCTGCTGGTCATGAAGTTGGACCTCAGCAATCAAACTTAACTTTAGGGTACTATGTTTCTTTTACTGACCTGAAAGAGTTCATGCCAGCATTCAAAGGAACTTCAGTTCTAACCAGAGGAGAGACATCCTGGCAAATTCTATTCACTTTGGTCTTGTCTTAAATTTTCATTTGCATTGTGAACAAGTTGCGGCTGCCTCTGAGACCCAGTTTATAGCTGTGTAGGCCGTGCCCTGCATAGCCCAGGAAGGGCCTTTCATATTGTAGTCTCTCTGACAACTGTTTTAAAAATGGCAATGCCCAGGCCCCACCCACAGGTAGTCTGATTTAGCAGTCTCTGAGTGGGACTTCGGCATCAGCACAAGCTCCTCAGATGACTCCACTGTGCAGCCAGGGTTGAGAGCCACTGCTTTTCATGAGGATGGTTAAATCACAGCAGCTGATGTCTATGGAATGCCCCAGGACAGGGTCTCCCAAATGTGGTTCCCAGATCGGCAGCACCAGCTTTCCCAGAGGACTTGTTAGAAATGCAGCTTTAAGGGCTCATCCCTAGAACTTACCACATCAGAGTCTCTTGGAGTCGGGCCCAACCATCAGCTTCAAAGCCCTCCAGATGACCTGATGCACCACTGCCTAGGACTGCTGATCTAGGACCTGCCCCTCAGAGTGTGGCCCTGGACCCGCAACATCAACATCATTAAGCGCTAATTAGAAAAGCAGAACCCCAGACTCATGAATCTGAATCTGCATGTTAACAAAATCTCCAGGCAAATCATGTGCACATTACAGTTTGAGAAGCAGGACTCTGAGCTATGGCTGTATCTTTTCACAGCCTTCATAGAGAAGGTGGAGAAACTGTGATCCTTTCTCTGTGATGGGGAACCGTCTCTGGACTCAGGGTTGCACCGTATGGCTTGCCCTCATGATGCTCACGATAGCCGCCCATCCAGCTAAGCCTGGGATGATGAGAGAATGTAGACACAGTACGTAGGACAGAGGCTGGAGCAGAGAAGCCCCGCAGGCATGTTCGCCCTTCATCCCTCAGTACTGATGTGTCTGACAGGACGAGAGCTTGTCGCCTGAAAACCTGCGGCACGCAGGACCAGGATGCTGGCATGACCTTGGGCAAGCCCACCTCTGTCTCAAGAGCCAGGTGTCCATGGCAACAGAAGGAATGCCAGGAGCTGGCAGTCCCTGAAGCCTGCCTGTGACTGGGGGTTGGCTGTGCTTGGCGGCCACCTTAACCATGAGGGCTGAGTGGGTGTAAACACCCCAGGCAGATGGGCTGCCCACCCCCACAGCACCCTGTTCTAGAAATGAGTTTTGTCAGAAGAGGCGTGATTGGCCTCTTTAGCCCCCTCTGCAGGGACTGGCTGTTCCCCTGCCCCTACCTCAGCTAGCTGCTCAGTCTGGCATAGCCCATGAGGCTTCAAAGGGAATGAATTCAGGGGAGCTCACTCTGTCTGCTACTGATTGCCTGGTCTTGCATAGGGAGCGTCTGTCTCATCTCCAGTGTGGAGGAGGGAAGGGCAGCATCACATCAGAGCTGGGGAGTGGGGGTGAAAAGTGGGGCTGGACCCAGGTGGACCTTGCCTCCAGGTGGGACATCAGAGGAAGGCAGGACATCAGAGACTCAGGACTGAGACAGCAAACGTCTTGGGCAGTTACGATGTACACCTAGTGAACTAAACACCTATGTTTGACCTAAAGGTGAAATCAACTGTTGTTTTAGAAAAAGGACAACTAGCAAGTGCTAGAATACTAGTGTAATAGATAATCATTAGGAAGATTTATGGACCCCTTAGCATGCTCGTGTATTATCCCACTGCATCCTCACAATGACTCTGTATGGTTGGTATTCCCATGATCACCATATTCCAGAGGAAGGCAAGACTTAGAGAGATTGGGTCACGTGCTCAAGGACACCCAGGTAGTAAGAGGTTTGGTGGGATGCCAAGCCAGTCATCTTCTCCTACTATACTCTTAACCTCTATGCCCAAGAAGAAAAGTGATCCCCCCAAACTTATTTTAAACATTTATTTATTTTCAAATGCTGTGGCTGGAATCTTTCCAGAAATAGTAAACTTTAAGCATCACTGCCACAGACTCCAAAGATTTTTCACTTAAAAACGTTGCATGAGGAGAGAACTTGAAGCTTTGATTAAACTGCAAAAGCAACATATCCATAGGATATGCAGCTCTTGTCTTAGTCCTAAGGTCAAGCACACTATTACAAGGTCAGATTCCATTGATGAGAACTGTGGCATGACCTATGGAGGTGGTGAGGCTGAATCATGGAAAGTGGGAGCTGGAAGGGACTTTAGGGACCAAGGCCCACCTGCCACACTAGACAGAAAAAGAAACTAAGGTCTAAAGAAAAAGAAAATGGACTTCCAAAGTCAGGCTGTGTGTTGGCAGTGGAACTGGACCTTGAATTCAGCCAGTGTGTTTCCCTGAACTTAACTTTCCAGCAAACACCTCCCAACTTGAGATTCAAATGGATAACACTAAAGTGAAGAAAGAACAATGAGCGAGTGAAGAAATTGGTCCTGTTATGCCTTCTAGTCCTAAGGCTGATATTGAATTTAAGCCAAGACTCTTGCTTTGGCTCGAATTATTGGCATCCAGAGAGATTTAATAGGAACCTGGCTCAATGTTACAAACTCATACCTGAAAATAAGTTATCGAAATTCCCTATTTCCATTTCCTCCTATAAAAATCAAAGTATAAGTCCTTAATTAATTTAGCATGGAGAGTTAAATACCAACCAAATTCTTAATTTTGCTAATTGTCCTTTTTCAAAGACGTTCGGTTGGAGTTATTGTGTTCCTTGTAGCTTCTCAGCAGCATTAAGGCAGGGCTGACTCCCTTCTCGTTACATTCCCATCATCGAGCAGAGTGGTTATGTCTTGCGCATAGCAAGTTCTGAATAATATTTGCGGAATTAATCAAGATTGAACATCAGTGTGGGCGGAACAGATGTAGGCAAAAATAATGGGCCACAAAGAATTTTACTTGTGTTGTAAAAGGAGGGAGAAGGCCTGTGTTTTTCTAGAATGGAAGCGACTCTGGGGTTAATGACAATATGGATCTGGTGGGACCCAAGAGGAGGGGAAGAGAACCGTGATGTAAGATGTGCATTCTCAGCCTGGCTCCATATTTACAATCACCTGGAGAACGTCTCAAAAATACCAAGGTCTGGGCCCCGCCCCTCAGGGATTCTCACTTAATTAGTCTGGATGAGGCCCAGATAGTTTTTTGAGCTTCCCGAGTGGTTTCAATGTATAGCCAAGGTTGAGAATCCTGATCTAAAAACCTGATTAAAGGACTTTGTAATTTCTGAACTGGGCATTGTGCTGAGGCAGTGATGCAGAAAGAGGAGTGGGGAGTGGAGGAGGAAAGAGAGAAGAAGATGTGCTCCATTTGAGGCAGACACATCAGTGTAAAGAATACACAGTCAAAAAAACATGTTACAAGTATAAGCAGCATAGCCAGGAATGCCTAACGCTTACCCTAGATCTTACAGCCACCTCTCCTTGAGGGAAGTAAAGTGCTTCCCCCTAACCTGGCAGCAAAGGAAAGCAAAGTAAGACTTTATTATTAGCTGTGGCCTTGAACCCTAAATAAACACAGTGCCTAACATTCTAGTAACTGAGTGTGGCAAGGAATAGCTTTGTCCCTGGATTGCCAGCTATTGTACCATTTTATCCAGTGGTTCCCAATCTTGTTTACATATTGGAGTCAACATGGGAGCTTTAAGACTTACTGATGCCTGGGTCCCTTCTCGCCCCCCCCACCCCCCCAGAGATTCTGATGTTATGGGTCTGGGGTGTGGCCAGGATATGGTGATTTTTTTCAAGTTCTCTAGGTGAGTCTAATGTCAGCCAAGTTCCAGAGCAGTGGTCTGTGTCCAAATCACCATAGTTGCTAACGATATACATTGAGCAAGCACATAAACACCTGACAGTAAGATTGTATATTTACATTTTATACAAGCCATTCAACAGCCCTTCCGTAATCCGCAATGAATGTTATGATTTCCCCGAGGAAAGGGAAAGTGGATATTGTTTAGCCTACTAAATGCCAGGCACTGAATATACCTTATCTCTTAGTCCTCACAACACCCCACAGAGTTGTTGTTGGGATTCCCATTTTCCCCAGGCTCAGAGAGGATAGGAGACCAGAGACTCACTGTTTACAGGTTGCGTTAGCATGGATTCAAGGCTAAGTCTGTCCTTCGCCAAAGCTCTCAGGTGCTTTTCACCACAGCACATGGCCTGAGCTCTTCCCTAAAGAGGCCATGGAGTCACTGAACAGGTATTTATTGGGTGTTATGAGATGAGTACTATGCTAGGTCCTAAAGATGCAGAGAGGCATAAGACCGACATGACCCTGTTATCAGAGAGCCTGCATTCCTGCAAGAACATGGACCAGCCAATAAGGAACCAACTTCAATGGAAGTGTTCTGAGAGAGGGATGGGTACAGGACATTGTGGGAGCACCTCAGAAAGACACCTCAGTACAACCTTCTTCAAAGAGACTGACAAACTGTTGCATTACAAATATATTTCACCACCTGATGGAAAGAACAAACACATCTTGTTGCATGTCTGAGAGCCCCTAAGGAAGATAGGTAAGCCTATGGTTAGATTGAGAGGAGTAATGTCAACTTCATTTGCTATTGGTTGATGGCTATGTGCCAATTGGTGGGTTTTAACTGGGACTCATGTCAGTGTGTTTGGGGGCAGTGGGTGAGAGGGTGAGTTTCTGTTCTTCCAGGTGCAGCTGGAGTAAGTCTTCATCTTCCTCCCATTCTCCACCCACAACATGATGTGTGGTTGACGAGTGCAGAGGTGCCGTAGGCATCGTCTCCACCCATGCTGTTTCCTGTGTTCATCTCACACAAAGCAATCTCAAGCGAGGTAGATGAAAATGAAGGGCTTGAGTCTCAGGGCAGGCTGCAAGCCTCTTCTGGATGATGTCCTCAGCAGGTGACCGCCCCCTTTAGATGAGTTACTAGGCTTAGAGAGCCGATTTACATGCAGTGTGGCAGGGGAGAGCCTGAGCTTTCCATAGAAAGACGCTTTTCCCCAGCAGAATGAAAACACGCTGGGAAAAAAAAAATCTCATCATGGCTGGAAGCAGGGATGAGCTTCTACAGATGGATCTTAAATTACATTTTCAGGAAGTAAACATGGGGTCAAGGGTCATCCCATTTCGCTGAGCCTTGCAGAGGTAGAAATTTTGGTATTTCTTCTAATTTTTTATTTCAGCCAAGGAAATGCTCTACCTCATCCTCTTGGTAATTGAAAATAGTAACTAGAAGGAGGTAACTGCCAAAAGAACAAGCCGTTCTTTTCTGTCTCCCACAGATATTTCAGGAGCCAGGACTCGAAATTATGAAACTGACAGAAAAAAAAAATAAACATGCAAAGATGCTGAAATTATTACCATGCTACACCAGAAAAAAGTTTTTCCTTTTCTCACTCTCCCATATCATCCTTATATAAAAACACTATTTTTGCCTCTACAGAAATGAATTTCTTTTAGCATGTACAGACATGCCTTATGCTCCCCCAACTGTAGCCTGCAGGTGTGTTGGTGGTTAGCAGTGATGTCGTTCTGATGGTGTGAGTCAGAGAAATCACAAGTCCCCCAAAGGGGGTTTATGTGTTAGGTGACCATCCATTGAGATCGGTGGGCTCCTTTGGACGTCATCCCCCTCTGACCAGCTAAGGAGAGTGTGCCTTTGGCAGAAGTTCTCGAGACAGGATCCTTTGGACTTAGTTTTGTATTTCCTAGTATGATCCAGAGGGTGGCTTGTGAATATTCTGGATGTTGGCAGTTCCCCCAGCAGAGACTGCCCAGTGCTGTCATGTCTGGGGAGGGACTTCCAGAGAACCACCTCTCTCTAAACCCAGTTGGTAATAGGGAGCTGATCTATCTGTTGAAAAGTTATTCCCAGGCAAAGAATCAGTTAATCCAAAAGAAATGGCATGGTTCAAGGATCCCAAACGAAGCTGGCTGTATAGCAATCCACCCCTGGCTATAGCAATCTATCCAGGTTCACAGAGGGATATGCAGAGGTTGGGAGGGTGCTGATCCCATTCTGGCTGTTTCCAAATTCCAACTTTCAAATGCATATTGAAGGAAATGTAGTCTTTACAGCACTACCTGGTTTTTGTCTACTTTTTTTTTAAATCAGGAATTGAGTTAATATGTGAGAAAGACATTGATCTGGCAGCCCAGGTGCAAGAGCTACTGGAGTTTCTCCATGAGAAGCAGCATGAACTGGAGCTCAACGCGGAGCAGACGCATAAGCGGCTCGAGCAGTGCCTCCAACTGCGGCACCTCCAGGCCGAGGTCAAACAGGTGAGCCCGGCCCTCCCACCTTCAGCCTGGGCTCCCCGCCTACCTTGGGCCTGCTCCTGGTATGGGGGAAGGCACACACAGCCACAGGTAGAACCAGACTTGAGAAAATTGGTAAGTGAAGGAGTGGTTGTACTCATTTCTGAAAACTAGGTTGCCAATTATTGCATCTAACAAGGCAATCTAATGGTACAAGGGCTTAAACCACAAATGCACAATTTCTCCTTCATAACAATCTAAGGAGAGCATTCCAGGGCGTTCCCAAGTTGTCCTTGTCACTGAGTTCTTTTCTCTTCCTTTTTACCCTCAATCCCAGCACACAGTTCATGGGAAACAGAAATCCTTTATGAATAACATATGCAGCTTTTAGAGCCAGGTCGATTAATTTGGGGGCCCTGTGTGCCTAGGACAGTGCCTGACACCTAGTTAATAGTAAGTAGTAGCAGTTGCCTCATTTTTTTCAATGTGTGTGTGGTCCTGATAAGAAAGTTTTCTTTCCATAGTAATGTCAATTTTAAAAAGAAAAAAAAAGTTCTTATGTATATGAGACATTATACTAGCCATTTTTCTAAGGACATACCCAGATCTCTAGAAATCTCTAGGAACGTACAATGTTCAGTGACACATTTTAAAAATACTGCGTATTTATATTGTGAACAGACCGGGAATTATTAGCATAATGACTGGGGATTTCCTATTTAGACAAAGTGAGGTTGAAAACATACAGATATAATTATGGTGACATTTATTGCTTGCTGTATGCCTTTTACACCTATCTCTTGTCAGTTTTCACAACCATTCTCAAAAGCAGATGTTATTCCCCATTTGGCAGATGAGGCCACTGAAGCTTAGAGAGGTCACCAGGCAATGATGGAAAGAACACACCACCATCCCCCTCCACAGGTCCAGGGGGCTTCCTGGCAGGGCAGACGCCACAGCACTTCAGCGTTTGCCCCCTCTCCTCCACACTCTCCCAAGCAAACCCATCCATGCTTCTTCTAGCCAGAGTTGCACCCAGAATATCCTAAGCAGAGATACATCTTCCTCTTTTAAGCATTTCTTTTCTTAGTGTAGTGACTGCTAGAGCATTTAGATATAAGTCTATTAATTTAGCCTCGGGAACAAACACATTATATTTGATTTAATTATTGCATGGTCCCGTATAGTCAAGATATTCTTTACTAATACCTGTGCCTTAGTTATTATATTGATATTTATGGTAATGGGCAAAAGTGTCTTGTCTCCTCCCCTTCTCATCCAATCAACGCTCAGCCAGAGCCCACACACGCTGTGCTCAGGAGCCATCTTCCTCTTCAGCACAAGTGAGACGACTGAGCCCCAAGCAAGGCTGGATCCCAGTGCTGTCATCTAGGTTGCTCTCTATTTCTTTACACTGGGATCACCCCCTGAGTCCCTAGAGAGAGATGTTATTCACAGCACAGGGTGGAGATCCTAGCAGGCCGAGCAGTGATGAGTATACAGACCCTGGAACTCTGGGCAGTAATGATAGTACTGTCTTTTCATCTAAGAAGCACTGACTCATGTGTGATCTCATTCTAGGAAAACAGGCCATAGGGGAACGTGGTGTATATTTACTTTGCAGATGAGGAAGCTGAGGTACCATCGGGTTAGTGCTCCTAGGCCCTCTTGACTAATTCAAGCTGAAACTTGAGCCAGGCCTCCTAAATCCAAGGTCCTATGATTTGCTTCTGCAAGGCCCCGTCCACCCTGGGGTCAAGAGAAATAGAGAAGCCCTCCAGCAGGACGCTGTCTGGGATTTTCTTGGCCTCCGCAGCCTCACAGCTAAGAAGACAGGCAGGCATGGCTGGCACCTGGCAGTGAGGGTGGCACCTGATCAGTCAGTGGGCTCCAGCAGGGTGTGGGAGTTCTCCTCCGCTCTTCGTGCTTGGTTGTTTTTGTTAGTGGAAGGTGGCAGGATTGATCATCTGAACAAAACAGATAACAGGAAAATTATTCCTATTTGACTTTGAAATGAAATATATCTAGTTTTGCTCTTGTTCCTGGTATTTTGTTTTTTTGCTCCAGCGTTCATAGTAGAGCCAACTCCCTAATTATATTCTTCTTGACTGATGGGAAAATGGAATGAATTTTCATCCTCCAAGTCTATGTTCTGTGTAGGATGAGGAGCTGGCATGATGACATATAGTTTGTCAAATAGGGAAGTAGGTCATCTCTCTGTGAATAACCCAGGCTTGATTAATATCTGTATACATTTCCACTCAGTATTTCATGAGTTGGAGGTAAAAGAAGAATTCTATGGGGGTGAGAAAGTGGCTTCTCCCCACCATGGCGAGAAGGACACACAGTGGGATTGCAACTCAAAATAGCACCGGATTGCTCGAGTCAGACTTAAGGAAACCTGTGAGACCTTTGAGAAGGACCTCGGCCCTTGGAGGCACCAAAGAACTGCGTTCAGTTAAGCCACCAAGCCTCATTAGGCAGACTTGTTTTCCTCGTCAGTGTAAAGCTCTTTCTTTAGGGAGTTGTCTGATCCAGTTCAGGGAAGGCATTTGGATTTGATGGAAGTTAGTGGAGCAGGAAATATTGATTTGGAAGCTGTTGACACTTGGAAAGAGGGAGTTAATTTAGATGTCAGTATTGATCAGTGGGGCTAAATTTAGACACTAGCTTGAAAGTTTCTTTTTTGAATATACTCTCAAGAAAAAAGAAAAGAAAATGGACACCTTAATTGCAATGCCATTAATGGGGACAGAAAGGGAGAGGACAATAATGTGTAATGGCATTAGAGCTCTCATAGATTGAAGGTTGAGATTTGGTCATGATAACCTTCAGTGTTGTTACATCACAATCATATAAAACGGAAGCTTTGAGGAGTGATGATGCCATAGACATTAGACTGAAATTTATTTTCAAGCATTGAGGACAACTGAAATTGATTACTGCAACTGATTTTCTTTCTGAGGGATTACCTAGAACTTTGTGTCTAAGATAAATGGCCCAAATGCCTCCAGAAAAATGTTGAGCCTTGAAGGGCAATCAAGGGAAACCCTTCTCCTGATGACAGCCAGGGCCCTAGACCACCAAGATGCCCTCCTTTCTTCTAGAAATATAGCTCAGATTATTCTCCAGACCCCAGAGAATGCTCTGATTGCTTTCCAGGAAAATCGTTACTCTGGTAAGAATGACCTCACGTAATTTAGGAAGATTTGAAAATCCTACTTCATGGGCATAAAACTAAATGCATTTCTATACGTATCCCTGCATAGCCGCGCATTTAGCAGAAAACAGGCTAACGTGGATTTATAAGATGTTGGGGCTCTAAGCTAGGGGGAAAGAAATCATTCTTATTTGTCTACTAAAGATATTGACTTAAATTACCCCTGTGGACCAAATACTGGTGAAAATTTGCATATGATCAAGATGGACATTCAAAACAAAAAAGAAAATATTGTTCTGCGTTCATATTCCTGTCGAGAATACTGTGTTCAGTTGGGTTCACTGTACATAAAAATTAGAAAAGAGTTGGAGTAGATCCAAAAGAGAGGCAACCAAAGGGTCAAGTACAATCCATTTGTTTCAAAATGGAGATAATGAAGAAGACACATGGTCACAGTCTATAAAATCATAAAGGATGAACACGTATGATCTCATGAATCATGAAGTTTTAGGACTAAGAAACACTGGAAATGTAACAGGCTCCCAGGTACCATCTGACAGGTTAATGATTTTCCCTGTGGCTGGAGTTTCAGAAATGACTGTGCCTTGTGATAAGTCATCTGCAGTGCAGGCCTTAGAGTCAGTGACCTTGAGTGCAACCTCATAGCTTTATTTTCGTGTTGACCTAGAGAACACAACCATGTACAAGCAGCTTCCCCAGCATACATGGTGACACAGTCCAGTTGCCCAGCTTAGACAGCGTCGTCGTTTGTGGACATCCCACATCCAATTCACCAAATCCAGTCTTCTCCTAACTCGGGGTCGTCTGAGCTTCCTTCGCCTGAGGAAGCAGTAGATCTCCATCTTCTGTTCTCCCTCTCTGCTCTGACTGAGTGGAATTCGTGGCCTGAAACCCCCAGAAAAATACTCTCCCCTGCCCTCATTCCTACAAAGTTTCTCTGGTAACCTATGGTTTAGGGTCAGTGTCTTAATTTTGAAAGAAGTACGGAATGTTAGGGCTCAAAGTGACCTTCAAAGATCACCTAACCTATAGGTAAACTGTTGCCTAAATGATCGATCCACATAAAATGTTCACTTTACAGGTTACATTCTATGGTTTGCAAAATACCTTTGCGTTAATTATTTCATTTCCCCTTTACCCTGTGACTTAGGCAAGCAAAGTGTTACTGTTTTACAGAAAACTGAACCTCAGAGAGATTCCATGTTGTTCCCAAAGTCACACAGCTCAAGATTAGTAGGACTAACATTTTCTCATTTTTATTACAATATTTCTTCTACTATTTTGCAATCATTTGGATGCTCCCAGAAGAATGAGTAACCAGTTTTATGAACCAGGAAGGTAAAGAACAACAGTGATACAAAATTATACCAACAAAAACTGTCATTAATCAGAGTACAAAGAATGATAATAACACAACAGCTAAGGTATCTATTAATACATCACATCAGGAGGCCCAGAATATGCCAAAAAGCTCTACAAATTCTGGGACAAAAGTTAGTATTCCTAAACTTTTTCCTCTTCTTATTGTGAGAGGTCCAAATAAAGAATCGTAGCATTACCTAGCTTTGCTCCAAAACTAAAAATCACCACCACCACCATCATCTGGCTTTACCTATCCCAGTACGTTGCTTTCACCCTGATACAGAAAGTTAAGATACTATGACCCTAACTTTACAGGTGAGAAAACGGAGGCTCAGAGGGGTTAAGTGATTTTTTCCAGGTGGGAACAAGGCCAGGTGTTCTGCTTCAGATTTTGTCCTCTTTCTGCTCTATCCCAGTGCTGCTTCTAGGGCTGACTCAATCATAGGGATCAGTTCCACCCCTGAACGTAAGCCATGAGTATAAACTACCAAGCATTTTTATCTTCCTAAACTCAAATCTCCCAATTTGAAGTCCTGGAATGCCTTTATACACAACATTTGGGAAATAAAAATGAACAAGGATGTCAAGGATATGGAATGATTAATGAAACATGTGGAGACTGAAGCCTATAATATTTCTAAATGGAAAAGCTGGTAAATGGGGATCCCACAACTATAGCAATAACTGGTTAACTGATGTTGCAGCTGGCTGAAACGAGAGGAAAATATTCCAGCAAGACTTAGGAGGCCCAGAGGGAGTCAGATTGCTCCTCAAGCATTGATTTGTGAGGTACATGGAGAAAATGTTTTTCTGACACCCTCAATTAAACCTTGAACCAAGAAAAATGCAATGAATCATGGCAAGAGGACTTAACATAGCTCAAAAATATACATTGTGAATTCCATTTTGCAAAGAGATGAAGCATTTGGGCATGCCATCCTTGTATGCATGTACCCAGACTTACAGGCAGCTTCTGGAAAGCATCAGCACTTCTAGCCAGCCAGCCACAGAACACCAGTGGTTTCAGAGATGTCACACATACACTCGGAGCAGTTATTTCCTGCAACTAATTGCTGGGCAGATTGGCATCTCTCCCACAATCTGCCAGACTGGCCATGAATTAGCATCTCAATGCAGATAGCCCAGCCTCAGTGGGATTTCTGCCCTGATGTTATTCATGCACAAAGTAGCATCAGTCATTTTCTGCCCAAGGAGGAAATTTGCGAGATGCCTATGAGGGTTATGGAATAGTATTTAGTAATTAGTATTTTTCTAATTATTTAACGTAAGGAAGTTGAGAGGAGAAAGAAAACAAAATACTCTGAAACAGATTGTGGTGATGTCTGCTTTGTCTTAAGGTGACAGATGGATGGTATTTACTGATCTTGGAATTTCAGAAACATTTTTATTTTTTTCTCCAAGAAAACTCTCAGATTCCCTAGTAAGGAAAATATTTGGCAATTTTCTGGTGACCAGATCCCAGGTAGATTTTCAAGGCCTACTTCTTCTAGTTTGATTATTTGTGCTTGACTCTATTAGCTGGATAATGCCACATTTCCATGTCACCTAGGACTGTCTACACAGTGTCAGCTGTTTCTCCTTTAATTCTAATATTCGCTAGCTGAGTTTTCTTTCCCCCAGTACTAATTATGATCGCCTAGAATTTTTACTCAGCCTAGTCATAGCCTCTAAATAATTTAAATCAATTATATCTTACTCTCCCTTTTTTAATGATCCATTCAGTGTATGGATTATTCATTCTATTTTGCATGTTTTCTTTCTCTTTCCTCCTTCCTTTGAGTGGTTTACTGACCAAAACTCAAATCTGTCTGCTCGGCTATTTTGCAAAGCATAGGAGGTTGGACCCGCTGCTCAGGTGTGAGTTGGGTATTCATCATAGATTATCACTCACTCATTCAGAAACAGTACTGCATACCTATCATATGCAAAGTACTGTGCTAGGCACTGTGTGAAATGAAAATATGACTAATATAATACTCTACTCTTCTGGAAGTTTACATTCTAAGGGGGGAAATGAAACATGGGTCAAAATAACTGAACAAGGCAGCCTGTGGCAAGTGCCACACAGGCGACACATACAAATTGGTATAGCCTTGTAAGATGACAAAGAGATTGTGTTAATGGGAGTGATTAGGTATGGAATATTTCAAGAAGTTATTGATATTTGAACTGGACCTTCAAAAAAAGAAAAGAAATGGATACCAACACAGGGAATTTATTCATTTATAACCATTATGTGTTCCAGAAGGAACTTCAGAAATGTACGTACAATGTAATCAGATAAAGTAATGTTTAAATTAAGTGGGTGAGGAAATTGGGACAGAGGGGTGATAAGGGTAGGAAAGAATATATGAAGCTGGGAATGAAGTTGGTCCTTAAAATTAGTACCTCATGGCCAGGTAAGATTAGGGAGGTGACCATTGTAATTATCCAGATCCATCCTGTCCTCTCTCCCACTGCGGGTAGAAGAGAGCGAGCTCTTGTACTGAAGGACCCTTCAGAGAAGGTAGCTGCTCTGGGGAAGCTGTGAAGGCCATTCACCTGTGTTCTCGTCCTGACTCCTTAGGTCCTGGGATGGATCCGCAATGGGGAGTCAATGCTCAACGCCAGCCTGGTCAACGCCAGCTCTTTGTCCGAAGCAGAGCAGCTGCAGCGGGAGCATGAACAGTTCCAACTAGCCATCGAGGTAACACCCTAATCTGGCTACACTGTCCCCCTTTCCCCTTTCTGCTCTGTGCTTCAGGCAGGGTGACTTCTCAAGATTTGGGTGTTCCTTCATGTAATGAAGCCCTTACTCTCTCTAGTGAAATGGTCCTGGCAGCCTCCTTACTACACAAGAATTGATGGAGAAGCAAAGGTGGGGTTCATCACCCCAAGGAGGCCTGGTAGTAGAAGACAGATATTCATGCTACAAATGTGGATTTGCTTTTTGACTCACTGGTACCTTTAACCTTCAAGGCCCCTGGTCCATTGAGTTTTTTATACATTATGGACGATGCACCGTGTGAGAAACATTTCTCACATAAAGATCACACAGAATTGAGGATAAACAAGTGCAAAAGTCATTAGTAAATTAGGATTCCATTTCTAAACATATAGTTTACATGTAGCATGTAGAGTCTATTGTCAGATTCTGCCTTTGAACAAGGACAGTGATCACAGGACCAGATTGCACTAGATAGTTTGCTTCACTGAAAGCAGTTGTTCAATAATGTGGATGGAAGTCATATTTAAAGAATAAACTGAGACCAGAAGTTCATCGAGTGAGGCTTGTTTTAATGGCTGTTTTAAAATAAAATTCCACTTACGATAATCTAATATAAATTTTGTCTTGCTTTAAATAATATCTTTAATTATCCTTTTTACTATAATAAAACATTCTCCTTCCCAAAGAGACTTGAGCTGATTGCTTTGGAGTGATGTAGGGAAAAGAGTAGGAAATGGGACATAAGAACTATATTAAATATAAAATAAGTTCAGCACCAGTGGGAAAAGAGATAAAGAGTGAACACTTGAAGACATTCATTACTGTGGTTCAGTACAAAACTTGGCCCACTTCTGCATGTGTAAGAAATGCAAAAGTGTTCTTTTCTACTTAAAAAGTGATTGTTAATGAGAATTTTCCACAACGACAACAAAATTTTAACTGTCCATGCTAATAAGTATATCTTTAATATAGTAACCCAGCTGATGGCTAGCTATTTTTAAACTAGTAATTGATTGATTTCAACCATTTAATTTTCCAGAAACCATCTTGTCTGTGTAAACATAGCATGAACAAGAGTGACATGTTTCTTTAAGATGCCTGATATCTTCTTAGAAACCATGGCTCATAGTAGAGTACTGTCTGGAATTTAAGATTTAAAAGTGAACTATCTATTACACACACAGTATGGGAAAATCATTGTCTAAGGAAGAACTAAGCAGAGGAGAGAAGTTTTGTTATCATCAGCTGTCTCTGTTGCATTTTCCTGCCATGCCCAAATATGAGGGCATTAGGATCTATTTACTGTAAAGGAAAAATCAGGATTGGGGTTACAATCAAGAGTCAGGCATACAGTGGTCAAGGCCCCATGGAGAGGCAGCAGTGAAGAGAATGAAGGTTGGGCGGCCAGACTAGAGGCATGGCATGACGCTGGGAGGGATGCCAGGCGGGAATAAGACAGCCCTGGGTCATGCCTCCTCCTTGTTTATCTTGAATGTGAAGGTTTGCCTGCCCATCAGGTAATTAAATATTCAGTCCCTTAATCAAATGTTGGGCAAGTAAAACCAAGTGTCATGACACGCTTGAATATCTCAATGAGCTAGTGGAAAATAGCAGGTAAAGGCATTAGCAGTGCTGTCGAAATGACTGAGTTCCACGTGACTTGCATATGCAGTATGTATTAATTTGTGTTAGGTGCTGTTGCATCCTTACAGAATAGAGGCTCGCTAAGCTTAGATCTGTCTCTTAATTACCTGGGTGCAACTTGATCAAATATTCTTGGGGTTGATGTTGAGAAAGAGGTCCCTGTAAAGTTTATGTCTGTGGTTTCAAGAGGACATGGCAGCACAGACAGGGTTCTGAAAGATCTTGGGAATGCAAGATAGGCGGGGTCTGCAGCATGGCGAGAATAGTGAAGAGGACAGAGCCAGAATTTCAGCACATGCTCTGTCTCCAGGTAGACTTGTGCTTCTCCCTAAATGTCGGTGTATACCAGCTTCTGCACTGAGGGAAAGTATGCCAGGGAGGATTTAAGCAATATGAAAGTGGCTCCAACTAGTCTGGTTTGGATGAACCCATTTTGATGATGTTACTGGAGGCTTTTACAATGATTAGGAACATAATTTGACTTCTTGGGCCCTAAGAAAGAACCCTGGGTTCCAGAAGGGAAAACAAAATAGCTATAGGTAGGGTGATCATATAGTTTCTTGTTAAAACTGAGCCACTTTTAAGAGTAAAGGAGGATATTATTAATAACTAAGCCAGAAAAGTAGGCACATACGAGAGCAGTCATGGGCACACCAGGACAGTTAGCCGCTCCGGCTTGGCTGGCCTCATCAGCTTGAAGGCTTTGGTCCCCCCAGCGAAGGTCAGAATTTTTATCTGAAGTAGCGTTGGTTGCAGGAATACTCCCCAGAGCCATTCATAATGGACAGCAGCTACAGCACCTAGAAGCACAGCTGTAGCGACAAAGCCATGTCATTATTTGTTGGTGTACAAGATGTTGTGGTGGATGTGTCTTCAAGAACTGTGAATCACAGACACAAGCTTGACTTTAAATTCCACTTTTATTTGAAATATTCTTCTGCATTTTCAACTTGAGCATTATGGAAGAAATAGTTAAGTAATCGTTATCCAGTAGTTAAACCTGGATAATAAATTCAATGGATTGGGTTCAGTGTTTTTTCATGTACTGCTACTAAATATTAACATCCTTGAAAATTCATGTCTTAAAGATATAGCACTCAATAGGATTAGATAATAGAGATAATAGGTAATAGATAATTAGATAATAGAGACTGGAAATAAATGCAAAATAATGACTCAAACCTAGCGAAGCAAAGATTATGTCATATGCATAAGAATTTATCATTTTGGAAATTAAAGGAGGAAGGGGTTCCTAGGACTATTAGATGATAATGAGTTTTAGAATCAAGAAGAGGATTTATTACATAGCATAAATTATAGGAAAATTAAAGTTACTCCTCCACTCTCAGAGGAAAAAACATAATAACGGGTTTATGGTGACAATTATATGTTGGTTTCATATACTGAAGAGAGGCCAGATAATTATCATAATCACAACATGTTCATTTGGTGAATCCTTCCTCTCAGTGAGCGACTGTAGACACCATTCTCATTGCTAGAGATAAAATGATGTGATGGGATATAGTGGAAAGGACATTGGGAATAGGTCAAACCTGAATCTTATCCCTGGTTTTTATCACTTTCTTGGCTGTACATTTTTGGACAAGTTACTTTACCAGCCTGAGCTTTAGTTCACTGATCTGTGAAGTGGGAATAGTAATATTCACCTTGTAATAGAGTCCTGAGGACTAGAAAAAACTATGGACCAGCACAGTGCCTACCCCAGAGTGTACATGTGGTTAAATGACAACTATTCAGTGATTTTTCTAAAAATAGTCCTTGCCTTGAGCGTTTCACAGTCTAAGTAAGGAGGATTAGCTAAGTGTTAGATGAGTGATCTAGTTCAGAAGGGGGTAGTTTTTAGTGAGTGTCAGGCTGTCTGAAAAGGCCTCTTTGAAGGAGGCCAGATGAGCTGAATCTCAAAGGAAGACTGGGACATAGACAGGGAGAGGCTAAGAGATTTACTTAAAGTTAGGAAGAATGAAAATAGCAAACACAAGGAAGTGTATGGTGTGTTTTCAAAAGGCTTTTTTAAGGAAGTAGTAGGTGATCAGGACACGGAAGTAGTTAGGACTATATTGTGAGCGGCTTCTAATGCCATCTCTAAAGTTTGGGCTTTGTTTCCGAGCAATAAGGGAACCACTGAAGGCTTTTGAACTGATAGAAGGGACAAATGTTTATAGCCTAAAATCAGAGGTTTAGAGCTAGAAAGGATGATAGAAGTCACTTAATCCAAGCACTTCCTAGTACAGAAGATTAACCTGTCAGAAACGTTAAGGGATGGGTTGGATGGATTAGAAATGGAAGGCAAGAAGGCTAGCTAGGTGACCACGATGGCAGTCTAGGGAGGAAGTGGTGATGAGCACTGGGCTGGGATTCAGGGTGGGGAACAGCAGGCAAGGATGATGACGAGATTGTCATGTTAGCTGGCAGCGAGGAGGGCACCAGCAACAGAATGGTAGAGTGCCATGGAAAGACTGTTTTAGAGGGAAGAGGAGTTTATTTTTCGAAGTGGAACTTGAGGAGATGTCGGAGAGAAAGATGGAGGCTCTGATAGGGCAGTAAAACCATTTGCATTCATTGGTGAGGGTTCCTCCTCTCTGTGTGAGGATCTTTCACTTCTTTTACTGATAATGCATGTTTGTAAGTGACTCACATGGGCAGACAGCTTGATCAGCCCACTCAGCTGCTGACCTAGGGGAGGGGCGTGGCAGGCAGCTCACCCTCCCATCAAAAGACAATTAAGGGTGAGGGTCAGTTGTCAGGTGAGAGATGTAGACTTAGGAGTCATTTACAAAGAAGACATAATAGAAGCCGAGGGAATAGATGGGAGCTCTGCGGAAGTGGACAAAAACCAAGAATGCACCTTAGGGTACCTCTGCATTTAAGAGACAGGAAAAGAAAATGGTGCCAATAACTACAACAGAGAAAGAAACCAGAGTTTATCGTGGGTCATTTCTACCCATTAGTTTACTTTTTCTTGCTGCATTCAGCAGTTGGGAACCCACACGCTGATGTGGTCAACAGGACTGAAGGCTGACTCAGTAGCAAAGCGAGGGCATGAATGAGAATGTCATGCTACCATAGCTAACTCTGAGTACAGATTCAGGAGACGGGGAAGGGCAGCCAGCAGGTGGCCGATAGCCTGAGAATAAGAAATAGGACTGTTGGGAATGCCATCTGGGATGAGGGTGAAGGGGACGGTAGAGGTGAAGAGGAGGGAGGCAGTACTCACACACTGGGTACTGAATTTTCTCTTGGGAACTGTCCCAGCACTGCTACCCAAGCGGAAGGGCAGGAATAATTCTGGAGTAAGTGACTGGGCTTCTAGTTAGTTGCTCACTGTCACTGCCAGCGAGCTGTACTTTCCTAAAAGTGCAAAGGCCAAACGAGCATTGGGCCGAAGTGATCCCAGCAGGTGAAGCTAGGATACTATTAGCTCTTTGAAGTCATGTGGCTCATCCATATCAGTCCTTTATTTTCACAAACTGGAATCCCCATTGGCTCTCTCGCTGCCACCCAGTCCTCCAGCCTGGTCCCCCCACCTCCTACCGTTAATGTAAACTCATGGAATGCAAACCACATGTAGCCTGAATAAGAAGAATAAACCTTCTACTATATATATATATAGTAGATATATATATTATATATATATATATATATATATTATCCTAAAGACAAACACCAACAATGTCGTGATGTGGGGATTATGTGTTGAGCTGAACTGTCTACAGTGCCGCTCCGTCCCCTTGGTGAGGTGACCAGGGGACAGTGTGAGATGCTGCTCTCCTACTTTATTAATCTGACAAATGTATTCCTTCTACTGGAATCCTTTTCAACTGATGATTAGTATTTAAAATGATGGCACTGTTGGCTCAGATTTGTGTTATATGGGTTTTTTTATGTGCAACATTTATTTGATCTGTAAAAACTGCAGCAGTAACCTCCTTTGAAAACATATGATGATGAACAATTTTCTGATTAGATTTGAAAAGGAAATTTTACTAATTATGAACCAATCAAGGAGTAGATTTCTACACAACTGCTGTTTCTCTACCACAGAAACGGAAATGTCTTTAAAACCCAGAGTGATATGAGTAGAAGAGAAGGAGTGGGGGCAGGAGTTAGGGACCTGAGCGATTAGCTAATGAAAATGTATGGTATTCTTTTTTTTTTTTTTCTTTTAAGTATGCTTTAAAAACAATGATGTATTAGTCATCATGACAAAATGTTTGAATCAGTCATTTAAAGCTCTTTAACTTTTCTGCATCTTTCCACTCACGCCTCACTCCACCCCCTCCCATACCACGCCTGGGTCGTTCCCATGGACCTCTCTCTCCTCCCCTTGTGCCCAGTCCCTCTTTCATGCCACTTCCTTGCAGAAGACGCACCAGAGCGCCCTGCAGGTACAGCAGAAAGCGGAGGCACTGCTCCAGGCTGGCCACTACGATGCCGACGCCATCAGGGAATGTGCTGAGAAGGTGGCCCTCCACTGGCAGCAGCTCATGCTGAAGATGGAAGACCGGCTGAAACTGGTCAATGCCTCCGTGGCCTTCTATAAAACCTCTGAACAGGTGAGGGAAAGGGCTGTGGGGTGCGTGGGGCTGAGATCGGTGGAGGATCATTTTATGCCTCATACGGCAAATCTGCAGTATCTACCATAGCAAGAAGCCAGGCCCCTCAGTGCTAACCTTTGAGAGGAGAAGAATGATTTGTGGAAACACCACAGTTGGCTTCCTTATAATGCTTTCCATGAAAGACGTAGACCATATGGTTTGTTTCTTATAAATTTCTCGAACTCATTGGATCTAGCTGTTGAAATAGAAATTGGGTGGGGGTATGCTGAATGGTAGATTGGAGTGGTGTATCAGTTAGCTGTTGTCATAATAATGCCGTGTAACAAATCACTCTAAAACTCAATAGTATAAAACAGGTTTTGTTTTGCTTAAGTATCTGGAGTTCAGCTGGTCTTGGCTGAGCTTGGTGGAACTGGCCCCAAGCGGCAGGTTGGGTCTAGATCTGTCCTCATGTCTCTGATCCTTTTTGACAGCAGCTACTTGAGGCACATTTATGGTGAAAGGCAGGAGCGCAAGAGCGCAAGATCTACTGTGCAAGTGCATTTCAAGTCTCTGCTTATGTCACATGCTCTCACATCCTTTTGGCCAAAAGTCATGTGGCCAAGCAAGCCAACATCAATGAAGCAGGGAAATATGTGCCTCCTATGAAGGTTGGGAGAGGACAGTGACAATTTGCTGAACAAAATTTAATCTACCACAATCAGGCACTATGCATTGCTCAAAAAACAGACAGCTCTTTTAATCATGGGGATTCCAGTCTAATGGAGGAAACACATTGGAGAACTGTCATTGGAGAACTATGAGTCTAACTGGTAAGATGGTGCAGCTGTGGGAACAAAGGCAGGAAATATACACAACATCCATAAAGATGCAGACCCATTTCCATTATGTCTGTACAGCAGTATGCACAAGGGCTAAGAGGAATTTTAAATGGTTTGTGTGCTGTTAGGCAATTCTTTTCATGAAATAGAGGTTTAAAACAGGAGTAATTTTATTCACTATAAAATACTTTTCCTCATTCCCCTTGCTCCCTAATAGAAATAGATCAGAGAAACAGTCTCTTCTGGGTGACTTATAGGGACCCTGGGAAAGTGTCTCGGAGCAAATATAACATGTCTGTCAGAGGGCCCTGCAGCCAATTTCCAGTCTCCACACTTTCTCTCAGTCCTTCCTTCTGTTGTTTCAGAGAGATGATGCCTTCAATGGCCATGGAAGTGAGAGGAGCAGACTGAGATGATAAAGAACTTCCCTGGTTGACCTATAAATTCAACACAATCCCAATCAAATCCCAGCAAGCTTTTTAAATAATACTTGATGTGCTGTTTCTAAGATTTATATGGAAATGGAAAGAACGTAGAGTAGCCAAAACGATCTTGAAAAGGAAGAACAAAGTTGAATTAGTTATACTACCTGATTCTGAGACTTACTCAAAAGCTGCAATGATCAAGAACGGTACTGGTGTAAGAATAGACACGATGGAACAGAATAAAGGTTCCAGAAATAGACCCGCACCTATACAGTCAGTTGATTTTTAACAAAGCAATTTAGTAAGTAAAGTCTTTTAAACAAATGATGCTAGACAACTGAATATTCATATAAAAATGAGGCTTAATCCCTATCTACTATCATACACAAATTTTAATTTGAGATAGATCAAGATGCTGAAGAGGACAGAGCGTTAGATTAAGAGTCAAGAAATTTGACCCTGAACTGACCTTGCCGAAGGTCTCTCTCGCTCTCTAGATTTCTGTTTCTCCACCTAGTAAATTAAAGAAGACTTATGCTTGGTAAACTTTTCAGCTTCCAAATTGATTGGTTTTAAGTCCAGTACTATCACAGGGCAAGTGTCAAGTACTGTTTTTCTTAAAAGTTTTTGAATGTCTATAATTTCTCTCAAGACGTGAGCCTTCCTGAATGTTTTCATGCCTTGCTTGGTGCTAGAGAAGTCAGTTAGAGTTCAGGGACAGGCCTGTCATGTCATCGGAAGCATGTGGGCTGTGAGGTGTTCTTCCTGGGACTTCTTTCAGCTCAGTTCCTAACTCAGTAAACATCCTGTCCAATGCCACACCCTTCATCAAAACGGATGCCTTTCCCTGACAGAGGAGGCCAAGGGTACTTCTAGCTGCTCTCCCCTGCTGCCATAGCCAAGCAAGTAATAGAGCCCACAGAAGGCAAGTACAGGAACATGAGTTATTTCCTGCACCCTTCCCTAGGCCCTGACTTCAGGCTGCCCTCAGCCTCCTCCTGTTACACTCAACCTAACTTTCCCTCTGAGCCCCATTCAACATGCTTTTGCTCTCTTGTGGGTTCATTTATAAGGTCACTCAGAGCACGGCCTCTCAGCAACTTTCAAACTGAAAAGCTTCTTACTCGCTTTTAGGTGAACCCAAACTTGTTACCAATCTGAAGGAGATGGACACGTTGCAATAGAAGGCCTGAGATGTCATTGCCTTATAGTAGCACCCGGAGACATCTTTGCTGGGATACTTTTCCCCATGGAAGGGAAAGAACATTCATGGATGGCCCATAAATCACGCAACATAGACAGCTTCCTCCTTACCTCTGCTCGAGGCTACTTCCTGTAGGGCAATCACAGATGGTTGGGCAATCCTAGTGTCTTCTCCAAACCTCATTTTCCTGTACTACCTAATTCAGAGTGATCGTAAGGTTATAGCAATATAAAAACACTTTGAAACCCCCCAAGTCACTAGTTTTTTTATCTTATGTATTCTATGTACTATCCCTAGGTGATGCCGTCAATCCCCATAGCTTCAGCCTCCAGCCATCGACTGTCAGAAGATGATTCCAAAATCCATCCCTCAGTCAGAATCTGTTCCCCCAGGTCCAGATGCTGGATTCTCCCTGCCTCCTGGAACTTCTCCTACACATCCCAGGGGCACTGCATACCCTAAATCCACAAACTGAACTTTAAATGAAAAATTGTGCACCTGTGTAGGCTTCTCTCGGCTGAAGGTCCTAGTAAAATGCTTCCCAACCGATTAATTTACTGAGTCTTTTCCTCCATGACTCATTAGGTCTGTAGTGTGCTGGAGAGCTTAGAGCAAGAATACCGGAGAGACGAGGACTGGTGTGGTGGACGAGATAAACTGGGACCAGCAGCAGAGATTGACCACGTCATTCCGCTCATCAGTAAACATCTGGAACAAAAGGAGGCTTTTCTTAAGGTCAGAGCACATTGTCGTGCAAGGTCTGGGACTTCAGCCTGTTCTTTCAGCTCCTTTCTTCCTCTCTCCCTCCTCCTCCTCCTCCCTTTCCCTCCTTCTCTCTCTTTCTCTCCCACCCCACCCCCCAAATCTCTCACATACCCCCCGTTTTTTTCTGGTATCTTATCTAAAAGGAGGCATTTGTAGAGAAGCTGTTAGCTGGTTAATCTGAAAGGTTGAAAGGTCCACACTTCAAATATTATTTACTTCTCTCAGCACCTTTTGTATAGACAATCAGAATACACCATTGCTACTGGTGCCATGTTCAAATATCCTGATATCCCATGGATGGTAACTGAGAAAAATACATACTTTCACTCAGTTGTGTTTGGTTTATAAAAATATTTTAATTGAAATGTGTAAGCCCAGATGTAATATAATATTAAAGTAAATTGTTTCTAAATGGATGATGCAAAATTTAGGGCAAGTATTAAAGAAATAAATTTAGACATCTTATTTATCAAGCTGACAGCCATCAATTACCAATCAATGTAACACTGTTTGTTCTGTATGAAGAGAGAAATACCTTATTTTGTTGGTTTTGTTTTTAGTAGAGCCCTCACGTCCCAGAGAGGAAGCACAGGTCTGCTCTGAGCAGGGTTTCAGCTGGCACGGGAAGTCCTCCTAACCCGCTGCCCTCCCGCCTTTGATCTTCTCTCTGCAGAATCTTCTGTGTTAAACTTTATCCAAAGGCTCCATTCACTCTCAGATTCCTTGCTTTCATGTTCTGCTTCCTCTCAGGTTTCTGAAAGTACAAAAGAGAATTTTTATATGCTGACATGTTGTCACTGACTTTCTACAATTCTATAATTAACTGCCTTTCTTTTTATTAGGGATATTCTCTACTTAACCGCCTCTTTGGGTTTTATTTTTATTCTTTTTTTCAAGATGGCCTCCCCCTGCCCTCCTCCTAGCTGTCTGGTGTCTGCACCTGCATTCAATCAGAACCCTTACTGATCAGCTCTTACTAATGAGATTCAATAGAAATTCTTCTATACAGGGCTTAAGATGATTTTAAAAGTCTCCCCTATTATAAAATTTTTTAAAAATTAAACAAAACAAATTAAGTAGAGCATATCAAAGATTTTAAATAGAGGTATAAAGGCATTTCTTCATAAAATTAAATGTTTCTTTTGAAGAAGGAAAAAAAGAAAATGTTCTGGTCTGATGTTTTCCATATGTGCCTAAAATCATAGTCGAGAAACCCCCTATTATTGTGGGAAGTATATGCCCAGTGGATGGAACATTGAGCTCTCCATTTGTGTGCATTAGTTGATCTCTCTTGGATTGTTTTGCTTTGGACTACCATCCAGGTGTTAAAATCATGGGTGTCTGGATGGACCTGCCAGCAGTCTTTTACCAGATCTCCCAGAAGCCAGTGTTGCTAATGCAACACTTAAAGTAATTTTTTACTATATAATTTGTAAAATCAGAAGCTAAATGTAAAAAGGTTGTAAAATTTGACAGTTTTGTCTAGAGATAATTTAATACTGAAAACTGTGGGTTGAAAATTAGTGGACTACTATGTGTTATTTCTATAATCAGGAAAAAGCCGCTTTTTAAAGAAATTCAGAACATCTAGGGTCTTGAGAGAAACTAGAAATATTGTCAGTAGACCTGGATGCTAGCCCTGACTTGATTCATGACCCCTGCCCTTTCTGAGCCTTGGTTTCCTCCATGGGTACCACAACATGGGACAGACCTGTCATCTCTGCCACCCGCTGCTCTTGGGAGCATGAAGGCGGTAATATAACAGCTGTTATGCCTTTTGGTAGAGCGACATTTCCCAGCAACAGGATAGTTATTAGTGGTATTGAGATGGGGGTGGATTTGATGGGCAAATAATTTTTTTAATTGGGGGAGGGGAACCAGCCAAGTTGTTGTTCTTCAGTCTTCGTTGTGGAGGGCGCCAGTCGCCATCTGGCTGCCTGTTGGCAGCTCCTGTTCTCTGAGCTCAAGGTGCTGTGTTCAATCTTAGTTGTGGGTGGGCGTAGCCACCATCCCTTGCAGGAGTCGAACCAGCAGCCTTGACAAATAAATTTTTAAATGTGGGTAATATCCTTTTAGATTTGGGATGCATGGTGAATAGGTTTGTTTCCCAAATTTGCTTTCTCAAATCTACATTAAACTATTGTTAAAGTGACTTACACCAGTGGTCATATAAGAGGCATTCGGGTGGCAGAGGAAAACCAGCCTGAGACTGATGTTAGTATTACTGACTCGACATACAGTAGTCAAGGGATGGCTGATGTGTGATTTTTGTCTGTGATGGAAAGGTGGGAGGCACCCGGAGTAATTCTTCACTCAGTAAAAGTGTGAGCCTCCTGCCTTGGAATGGATGTGTCCATGCAGCAGGGTGGCCTCTAGGGCTCGGCTCACCGAGAGCTTCATAAGCCCCCTTCCAGTGGCTTGGATCCCATGCACCTGCTGGACCTGGACTTACGTGTGTGGGCTTCACACCCCTGTTTCCCTCAGGCCTGCACCCTGGCACGGCGGAATGCGGAGGTGTTTCTCAAGTACATCCACAGAAACAACGTCAGTATGCCCAGTGCCGCCAGCCACACTCGGGGACCTGAGCAGCAAGTGAAAGGTCAGTGTGAGACCTGCCGGCCATGAGCCATGTCAGAAGCACAGCCCAGAGGCTGTGTCCCTGGTCTTCATGCCATCTCAGATTTCCTGGTTCTCCTCCTGGGATAAGAGAAAGTTTGATATGGGATGGCATGGGCTGTGGCGATGCATGGGAAAAATTTTAAACATACATCAAGATTTGGAATGGAAACACGAGGCTAAAATTTCCCCAAAACCTTTTCATTTATCTTAGAGTCTAGAGCAGCGCTATCTAATAGAATTTTCTGAAATAACAGAAATGGCCTATATCTATGCTGTACTATGCACGCTCCTATAGCAGCCACTCGTCATATATGGCTGTTGGGCACTTGACATGTGCTTAGTGCAAATGAGGAACCAAATTTTTACTTCTATTGAATATTAATCAATTTAAATGTAAATAGCCCAATGTGGCTAACATATTGAACAGCACAATGCCGGGGTGTCACACCGCCTGGGAAGACTGGAAACATGGACTGAGAATCAAAACCAAGGTCTAATCCTGGCTTAAGCTTTTAAAACATTAGTTTTCTTATTTAAAACTGAAAAAGGGTGTCTACACTCTTGCTGTTCCAAATGTGGTCCCCATACCAGCAACACTGACATCACTCGGGAGCTTCATCACAGAAACACAGAATCTCAGGCCCTGCCTACCTACTGAGTCAGAACCTGCATTTTGGCAAGAGCCCCCCCATCCCACCCAACCAGGTGATTTGTGTGCACAAAAATTTAGATAAGTACCGGTCTAGATAATCTTTAATATCTCCCTTAACTCTATAAAGTCTATAATTGTATGGGGGGAAAAAAGTGAGTAACCTTTAAAAACTGCTTATTAGCTGACCAAATTAAGCTTACATTATTAATGGTGGCATCGCTTACTCTGGACCATGCAGAAATTAGCCTTTGAGTGGGTGTAGAATTTAACAAATGTCCTCTTGACACAGCAGAGAAATAGAACCCTGGAGACCGAGGCTAGGGACAGAACCGGAACTGACTTAGGGGGTGAGGGGACAGGCTTGGAGAGCTGCAGTCGACAGTGGGAGGGGCTAACCTCCTTTAAGAAGAGCGTCCCTCCCTGCTCAGAGAGCTCAGGAGGTGAAACGATCTCGGAGGCCAATGGGAAGAATTAAATTTAGGAATCAAAGCTCCCTAGAGAGAAGAGGGGAGCAGGGTTCCTTTTCCAGATGTGCTACTATTTGTGGTGGAGCGACCCTGTGGGTAGCTGGCATTAGGGCATCCTCCCCTTCCTGCACTGCACGTTTCAAAGCCTATGTTCGGACTTGCAAATGCAGGTGGCAGCTGGGTGAGGCCGGCTGCCTGATGAGAGTACACACTCCCCCTACACCTGAATGCTCTAAGAGTGGCAGGCACACAGGGAGAGCCGGATACCCACACATCGTGGAGACGAAGACATGTTGTTGCCCATAGAAAAGCTTTCAAGAAGGGGAGGAATGAAACCTGAAACTCTTAAGGATTTTTACCTGACCTGTGTTGATTCAGCCACCTGAGAGGGAGCTGCATTAAGCAAAGCTCTGACAAGGACACAAAAAAGATGAAAGGAAACACAGGTTTTCACTCATCTGCCCAACTGAAGCGTCCACCTGATCAGGGCCTACACTCTCTCCTATATCTGTTTCCTTTCCACCTGCTGTCTGCACCCAAAGTTAGTGCCACTTATTTTAAGTTTTTGTTACAGGAGCAATTATTGCTGCATAACAACCAAAAACTTCAGTGATATACAGTTGTAAGCACTTATTGTTTAAGTGACTGTGTGTTGGCTGGAGCCGGGCTGTCGTGGCTGGGCTTAGCAGTGTAGTTCTGCTTCAGGCTGCAAGTCTGCCCGGCTTGGCTCTTTCATTGCAGGTTGTGTTCTTGTCTGTTCCATGTGTATTAGTTCTGGGACCTCAGTTGAAGGGGCAGCAGTTACCCAAGAGACCTTCTTAGAGTGTTGATGGCAGAGATACAACGTCAGTGCATGCGCACATATCGAGCCCCTGCTTGTGTGGTATCCATTTCTAATCCATTTGCCAAAGCAAGTCACATGGCCAAGCCCAGGTCGAGATGAGAAAGTACACCTTTTCTCTTTGGACTAAAAAGCTATGCGACAAAGGCATAGGTGTAGGGAGAGGTGAATAATTGGGACCCGTAAAAGCTCTCAGCCTAAGGGAGGAGAGAGAGATGCTGTGCTTAGAGATCCAAACTTCCATGGAGCATTAAAAGCACACAAAATCAATAAAAACTTTAAGTATAAAAAGTGTAAGTCCTGCAGTTTGGGGTGTAGCCTTTTTGTAGAGCACAGCAACTTGTGCTTTAAAGCCCCAATAACTCTGGAGACCAAGGAGGCTAAAGACCCAGGTTCTGAAGTCAAACAGCTCTGCCCCTGCCTATCTGAATGACCCTGGGCATGATACCTATCCCCTCTATACCTCAGTTTCGTCATCATAGAATGGAGATAATATGGTGCATGCATGCATGCATCATGAGGATTTGTGAAAATATGTGCCTGCCACAGAGTAAAGGCTTAATAAATAGTAGTTTTTCATATCATCGTTATTGTGCATTTTATTGGTATCTAATATAGTTAGCAGCAAGCAGGAGTCAGACATAGTACAAAATAAATTTGATTGCTTCAAACATAGAACATACTATTAAAACACTTAGGAAATCTATCCACGTAGTCAGCTGCTCTTAAAACAACAGGAGAAGTAGGGAGGAAAATGACATGGGCGAACACCTACCATAGCCCATGGTGGTGTGGTGGTGCTACATGCTGTTCATATCTTCACACTTAATCTCATTAGAGGTAGTGTGAGACCAGCTTTCAGCTTTTATAATGATCAGATCTAAACGACATGGAAGTTTGGGCCTAGCGACGTGATTCCCTGTGGACATGATTCCAACACAGCTTCCCTTTGTCCGTGCGTGATTTAGAAGTTTTAAAATTGGGGCTCTGCTGTTAAAGTGCTGTGTGCACAACCTCATGTGTAGGGCAGAGACTGTGACACAGGACATGAGTTATCTGTGCAGCCCTACCAGTCCTTTTACCACTGTTCCCTCGCACTCTCTCCTAAAACTCCTCAAGAATGGCAGGGATTACTTTCAAACCCATTCATGCTCCTCGTCTCCAGGGGCCTATTGAGTGAGTTGTTATTTTAGGGACTGATGCTTCTTATGGTCTCTTAACATCAAGAACTAGCTTTGGTGTGAAAAGAATCAGGGCCACTTTTAAGTCCCCCGGGTACCTATTCTTTCCCCATTAATTGAAGAAACCTTATCAGCAGTCTCTCACCTCAGTCTCCCCGACTTTGCTCCCCTCTGGGAAATTCTCTCTGGACCAAGCTTTGTTCCCTTGTTTCTGATGCCTGGATTAGTCCTCTAAGGAGACTTGAAGGTCCCAATTACCTAGGACCTGGGACTGGGACCAAAGCAGCTGGTCAGATGTATTCAGGGCTTCCCTGTGACCAGCTCTCATCTCTGCCCTGCAGCCATCTTGAGCGAGCTCTTACAGAGGGAGAATCGCGTGCTGCACTTCTGGACCTTGAAGAAGCGGCGGTTAGACCAGTGCCAGCAATACGTGGTGTTTGAGCGCAGTGCTAAGCAGGTATGTTCAGAGCTTTCCCTGGCTTTGCTCAGTTATAGGGACTACACAGAGGCCGAGATGACCCCGCTTGGGGCATCCGGAAGAGGGTCATAGCAGATGGGAGGTGGGGATGAAAGGATGAAAGGGAACAGGCTGTCACTTACCAGTCATTCAACCTTTACCAGGCGTTCTCTATTCAGAGTTTGGTGCCAGGAGTTGGGAGGAGATTCCGGGGGTAGATTGCCCATAACTCACATGAAACTGGGCCAGTCTAATGGGCAAGCCACTCTCTTTGCTGATGAGCTGTTCCAAGTCTAACGGGCGAGGACTCATTTGTAAAATCATCCACTTCCAAGCCACATACCGATCAAATCATGTCAGTCTTTCCTGGGTCCATCACCTGGTCCGAAATCATAACCTGATCCATGGTAGCATGGCATGTTTTCCTACTGACAACTGGCTTTTGCGGGACGGACTGGGTTGTTTCGTCCTGCAGGCGCTGGACTGGATCCAAGAAACAGGTGAATATTACCTCTCAACACATACCTCCACCGGCGAGACCACAGAGGAGACTCAGGAACTGCTGAAAGAATATGGGGAATTCAGGGTGCCTGCCAAGGTAGGAAGCACCCCGGAACCCTCCCCAGACCCACCCGGCCCTCCTCAATCTGGCCCATTTCACATCGTGGAAGGGAGAGCAGCCTCTGTACACAGAAATGCTTAACCCACAGTGGCAAGGGGGCAGCACAGGTAGGATGGTCTGCTTTGAAACCCGAATACCCACAGAATTGCAGCACCTGGACAGAACATCTGTATGTGGGAAGTCACTGAGCCTCCCAATACTCCTGTTCATGCTCCAGGTTCTGAAAGGTGCTATATTTCTCCAGATCAAATAAGGCAAAGGAATGTATTCATGTGACATGCACACCGCATGTGTGAACACCTGCACCTAGCTGCACGTTCTTGAAATTTGAATGTCTTAGGAAGGCCCCCTTATAAGAAGGGCCAATGGCTGTGGGTGGGTTCACAGAGCAGATGAGTTTATTTCCTGAGCTGACTACCGTTGATTTTAAATCTGGGTTTAGGTGGACCCTACATACACAGTTCAGGGTAAACTGTACTTCCATCTGGCCTCAGACTTGCAAATGAGCCGGACTGGGGTCTCTGGGAGCAAAACATGCAGTGTATGAGTTCTGACTTCTCTATATCATCTCCAACACTTGCTTTTGTGCATCTTTTTAATATAGCCATCCTGGAGGGTATGAAGTAGTAGATGTATCAGTACTTCATTCCTTTTTATGGCTGAACAATATTCCATTGTATGGATATACCACATTTTGTTTATCCATTCATTAGTTGATGGACATTTGGATTGTTTCCAATTTTGGGGCCATCAGTTGCTGCAAGCATTTGTGCACAAGTTTTGGTGTGAACATATGTTTTCAGTTCTCTTAGATGTATACCTGGGAATGAAATGGCTGAGTCATGTGGTGACTCGTTTAACTCTTTGAGGAACTGCCAAACTGTTTTTCCAAAGTGGTGACGTGATTTTATATTCCCACCAGCAATGTATGAGTTCTGACTTCTCCATATCCTCTCCAACACTGGCTTTCATCCATCGTTTTTATATAGCCATCCTGGAGGGTATGAAGTGGTATCTGATTGTAGCTTTGATTTACACTTCCCAGTGAGTGATGATATTGAGAAAACACTTTTTTAAACTGGCAATTTTATCTCTGAAAGTGAAAGAAGCTATGAGATAAACTGGACTTAATGCTTATTAACAAAAGAATTAAGTAATAATGAAAGTTCCTGGAACCTTAGCTAAACTGAATTATGTCTTGGAGTTCAGGTTGTGAGGAAGGGGAACATTAGCATGTCATATAGGCACTTTAGACTGAGAAAAGTAGAATCTAAACAGTTCAGATAAAAGATGGGCACAATTCTGTTTCTGAGACTCTTAAGAGGACTATAGCTTACGTGTGATGGATATTTTTGAAAGATTTAGTTCATATATAATGACAAACTCACCACGTGGAATGAATATGAAGATATAGCTCAAGAGAACTGTTTACCCAGACAGGGAGCTCAATAGGTTCATTATCTACAAAGACTGTATCAATAAATACAAGGAATAACATCAGTGAAAGGCAAATTATTAATAGGAGGTTTTAATGACATTACAGGAGAGTAATACCAAGAAGAGTAAATCTTAAAGTGAAATGTGCTAAAGACACCAAAAAGGCTTTTTAAAAAACCATATTCAAAGTAAGGCTTACTGATTAAGTAAGGGAAGATGGTATAATATTAAATGATCAAAGGAAGGAATTAAAAGAAAGAAAGAAAAAACCCAAAATTATATTTCCCAAAGACTCCCTTTTGTCCACAATATTACATCCACACTTTTGAACCGAACATTGAAGAACCTCTAAAATCTGACCCCCACTTTACCAGTCCATATAAGTTACTCTCTTTTGGTAGCAAGATTTGAGTTTCAAACTGACTCAGGTGATGAGGGGGAAAACATATTGTATGGCTCTATGTGGAACTAAAGATAGAAACTATGTGGCCAGACCTCCAGGAGCCCAGGAAAAGCTGAATGCCTCAGCCTTATGGGAAAATCAAGAAATGTGGCATAGTCTCACGTATGGAGATGAAAACTGGGATGTCACCCAAACCTAAGGGCAGTTCCCGCAGCCATATTATCTGGTCATCCTGTCACAGGGCATCAGGGACATGCTGCCACCATCCAGCTTCCGTTCTCTTCTCTCTGCTGTCTGTGTTTTCACTTCTGCTCTGCAGCCAGCCACCCCATTCCCTGTCTCTGCTCTTTGTATTCTCAGAAAAACCACCTCCACTGACCCAGGATATTGCCACTGCCCCTATTTCGACGGAGCTTTTAGGACAGGACACCTCAGGAGTGACTTGGGGTATATTGATGGGCTGCCCTCACAGGACAAGAGCTGACCTCATCAGCTGTGGCCAGGCATGTGGCAGGTCGCGTGGTGCCACCAGAGTCGCCCATGTATAAGAGGTCATTTTAGACTCCTCTCAGCAGGGGCTGTGGACATAGTTGGTGTCCATTTCATGGGCCAAAATGATCATCTAAGTCTTCTCAATATAAACCCTCAACTCTTACCGGTCTAGCTTTGCTCACCTCAGAAAACAAGATTTACTCACTCATCTGCTCATTCATTCATTCAACATTGATTGTATGCCTACTATTTTTTGGACATTGGCAATACAAAGGAATAAGATATAACACTTACCTTTTAGGAGTTCATGGTCTAATGAAAGAGGCACGTAACTCAACATGACACATGCTGAAGTAGAGGCATATATGTGGTGCTGTGGGAACCTTGGGGAGGGTGTCGGCCACTCGGTTTGTGGGGAGGAGTGGAGATGAAAGAGGGCCATTGGGTTGAAAGCAGGGATGAGTGGGAGCCACTCATCGTAGCAGGAGGGGCATTTGAGGTTCAACATGGCTGGAGTTTGGGGGCCATGGAGGGCAGTGGAGACAGTCACAGATGTAGGTGAGGCCACCTGGGGAAGGCCATGCCTACGTAGCTCATTCTATTGTCTATTTGCTCTCCCAGCTTTCACACATACCTGGAATACCCTCAGTCACAAGCCATTCTCCTGTTGACTCTGAATCACAGTTTTGATGTTTTAGGATAAAATTTCCACTGGTATGGCTACTGCCAACAGCTGACTATAAAACCCTGTCTCATGCTGAAGTCTCCTTACTGACAGCAGAGAATAAACATATATTTCCAAGACTTTACATAAAGATGGATTTCTTGATTATAGCTGCAAAAATTAATCTCTGTTTTAAGTAAATAGAAAGCAAATATATATATATATATATATATATATATATATATATAACATATGTATGTAAAATATATAAGTAAATAAAAAAATATATAAATATATATTTTTGGCTTGCTATTTACTTAAAACAGATTAGTTTTAAACAGAGATTAATTTAAAACAGAGGGGAAATATATATATATGTTATATATATATCATATATATATGTTATATATATATATCATATCTATCTATATGATATATATATAGATAGATATGATATATATATATATATATATGGAAAAAGAAACCACTAAATGCAGTAAACTAGAAGTCGTTAGGATCTTCTTTTCTTAACCAAGCATCTTTTCTTAACCAATTCCCAATGCTACTATTTTTTAGCCTTTTTGTGGCTAAGGATGTTTCTCCTGTCCTCATACCCACTTTCTTTTCTTCATGCCAAAGCTCTTCTGGCCCCGTGTCTCCCAGCTGTGGGCATCAGCTCACTGTCCTGAGATAGGAGAGGCTCAGAAGTGTTGAGTGAGTTGATGGAGAGCTGGACCATGGGTCACCCTGGCCCTGTGGCAGGCCAAGTCCTCTCTGCTCACCTCTGGCATTTCTTGGGAAGGTTAATGACTGGGGAGGGGCTATAATGACCCTGGAAAGGCAAGCGAGGATGAGAAAGGCTTTTCTGTCTTTTCTGCTTTTCTCCAGTGATTTTCTGCCTCAGTTTCCCTCAGTTATCTAGACTGTGGCATCACCCAAACCTTGGACCTACTTTCCTCCAGTCCAAAAGAAAATTTTACTTCTCAGAATATTATTTAAATATTTCTCTAAAAATCTATTAGACTTCCCCGATACGTTTTAGAGTTTCAAAACCCAAACTTAAGATAAAAAGATAAGCAAACGTTTACTTGTTTGAACATCCCTTCTGTTTCTATATCTTACCCAACATAAGTTCCACCTCTCCCGTGAAAACTCTGCTCAGTTCAGCCCATCTTCATTTTTTTTCTGTTTTAAAATTCCCACAGTGTTAACTATACATGCTTCTCTATTTGACAGTCAATTCATAATGCCCTGAGTTATTTAACTATTCTCTGTGAAAATCTTGTCCCCTCTAGAGATTAGACTGTTTGGGGGATATGAGTATCTTCTTTCCTTCTTTTGTTTACCCCCTGCTCCCAGCCTGTCCCCACAACCCTCTGCACAGTAGTGTGGACAGAGTAGATGTGGAGCAAACTCTTGTGAGAAATGAAATTAACCCAATGCATGTCAGAGCTCCATCTTACTGAGTTAGGCCTGTAATGGATACCAGCTTCATTCATTCTTTTCTCTTTTTCTCTATGGAAACTAAGGACAAGATCCTGGTGGTGAAAGGGACAGAGTTTACTCTTAATGCTGCTAGTTGGGTTTCATTAGATCCTGGCATGTGCCACCTTATCTGACGTTTAGAAAGCCTACTTCAGGCCAGTAGAGTGAAGACAGAGCTAGCACCTATGGAACAGAGGCAGACAGGTTCTGTCACTCACAGGTGGTATGAACTTGGACAAGCCCTAAGCCTCTCAAGGCCTTGATTTTTTTCACCCGTGGTTTCAAAGAGCCCCACATCACCTCCCTCTGCCTTCCTCCTAGGGATGCTTTAAGACTCAGCTGAGTCTCAGATGTGACATTAACATACTCTGTAAACTGATATAGTACTGTACTAATGTGAGAGATTCTTACAGCGATAGTCATAATGGCCCTGCTTCCTGAGTCCTTACTGTGAGTTCTGTTCCAGGCACCGTTCTAAGCATCCTACTTGTTCAGCCCATGTAATGCTCACAACTGTATGATGTAGATACTATTAGGATCCCTATTTTGCAGATGGAGAAACTCAAGCACAGAGGGTTTAAGTAATTTGTTCAAGAACTCCCTGCTAGTACGTTATAGACCTGGGATATAAACCCAGGCATCTGGCTATCTGAGCTATCTGTGGCTGCTGTGAAGAAGAAAATGGGGGTGGGGGTGAGGGGTATGAGAGCAAATGTAATCTAGTAACTTGAGACCATCTTTTGGGGCAGCAAACAAAGGAGAAGGTGAAACTTCTGATTCAGCTGGCTGATAGCTTTGTGGAAAAAGGCCATATTCATGCCACAGAGATCAGGAAGTGGGTGACCACGGTTGACAAGCATTACAGAGACTTCTCCTTGAGGATGGGGAAGTACCGGTACTCCCTGGAGAAAGCCCTAGGAGTCAACACCGAGGTGGGTACGGGGGTTGCCCAGCTGGAACGCGCTCCTTTCTCATCTCCCTCAGTACTTCCGCTCTCATGGCTGTGGGAGGAAGCAGGGTTTCCAGGGCAGGGTTTCTGAGCTGGTGTCACCCAGAGTACTTGCCTTGTGTGGTTTTTCTGGTGGAGGGATGGCTCTTGCTGCTAAGCCACTGGCCTCCATGCCCCATAACTAGTGATACACAGGAATACCTTGGTTTGCAAGTATAATTCGTTCTGGAAACAAGCTGTTCATATTGCAAGACATCGCTTGTTTAACAAGTTAAAATGTATTAGAAATGTTTGCTCGTCTTGAGGAACACTCGCAAACCACGTTACTTGCAATCCAAGGTTTTACTGTATATTGCAAAATTGGCTAGCTGGGGATGGTGGCCTATGGCCATAGAAGAGAGTTTTTTTCTGTATAGTTAACTGTTGACTTTGAGAACTAAACCCTTTATCTTGGCTTCATCAGTACCATCTTCCACCCAATTATGTAAATCAGCAAATGATTAGAGTCCCCAGTATGTATAATAGTGCTCTTTCAAGGATAAGGGATATAATTCATGCAAAGGCTATTTGACATTTCAACTGAAAAGAGGTACTATTTGCCATGAAGCAAGGGAAGACTGACTTTAATCTCCTCTTTATAATAGGGGTCAGTGACCTATGAATTAAGAGCTAAATACAGGCTGGCAATTTAATCCTGCAATTTCTAATTCTTAAATCTTTAAATAGGCTCATGCTCTGAAGCAAGGCAGACTAGAGAGTGAAATGGCCAAACCACTAAAATTGGGGGAATTAACGTCTCCCCCAGGCTTTAGCCTGTGAGATATTTTTTTCTAGAGGTTTCCATCCTGTGTAAATACCAAACAGTGGTTGACATAAGCAGAGATAGGCAATTAGAAAATTCAGTAATTGTTTTATCATTTAGCATTCTATTTCCAAGGGAAGTTGCTCATTTAAATTAAAAACAAATTGCTTTTATTCTTTTCCCTTGGCAAATTAAAGTTTTCTTATGTCTTCATGTGTTTCTGTTTCACATATATTTTAATAGGTAATAATCAGTCTTGGACGTGTGTGTGTGTGTGTGTGTGTGTGTATGTATTTAGATTCTATCAGAATCAAAGTCCTTGGGGAAATATGACACTAATCATCAAATGTGTTCATTGTTTTTCTTTGCTGTGGATATTAGCCCTGAACAATTGACTTGAACATTTTATATCTTTCTTATTTGAAAAAAAAATTATCCCATGAAAAAGCATGCCTGTGGGTAGCATCTTCTGATCCTCCTCCATTATATCTTTCTCTATTTTTCCCTTCTACCGCCTCCCCCAACTCTGGTGAGTTGCTTCCCCAAGTATCTCCAAGGTGACCTCTACGATCTCTCTGTGTGTAGGATAACAAAGACCTGGAGCTGGACATCATCCCAGCAAGCCTTTCAGATCGTGAGGTCAAGCTACGGGATGCCAACCATGAAGTCAATGAAGAGAAGCGGAAGTCCGCCCGGAAGAAAGAGTATGTTTGGGGGAGCGTCCGACCAACTAGCAGGCTTCTCATGGCTGTGTTTGGTTTTCACTGCCTCCTGTCCCCTTTGACAGATGAATGTGTTCTCATAACCACCTACAGAGGTGGTAGTGGACATACATGATGCTTTTGCCCACATTTCACACTGATCAAGAACCAAAGGGCATTGGATAGTGGACACATGAATAATGTCAATCTTATGAACCATTTCCTGACCATTCTGCTATCTTTATGTTGGTGTTACACAGTTACATATATGCAGAGATCTTACAGGGGCTTTATGAAGAATATTTTGACAGATTCCCTTTGGGTGATGCAGGAAAAAAAAATAGTATGTCTTAAGATTAGAAGCCATATGTCATTGATTTTATCAAAATGAAGTAGGACCATAGGTCCCATGGAGTGGAGAAACTGAAGCTAGTCTGCTAAGTCAGAGCTTGTATTTCATCTGGGGAATGTGTTAGTTTGGCTGGACTTCTGTAACAAAATATGATAAATTGGGTAGTTTAAAGAACAGGAGTGTATTGTCTCACAGTTCTGGAGGCTAGAAGTCTGAAATCAAGGTGTTGGCAGAGTTAGTGCCTTCCGAAGGCTTACCATGTAGATGGCCGCCTTCTTGTTCACATGGCGTTCCCCCTGAGTATATGCCTATCCAGATTTCCCCTTTTTTAAGGACACCGGTCATTTTGAAATAGGAGCCTGCACTATTTCAGTATGACCTCATCTTAACTAATTACACCTGCAATGACTGTTTTTAAATAAGGTCACATTCTCAGGTACTGGGATTTGGGACTTCAACATATGAAATTTTTTTGGGGGGACACAATTCAACCCATGACAGGGAGGAAAATGGGTCCACACTGGACCAAATCTTCTTGCTGGGCTGTCTATGGGACATCAAAGAGCCAGAGGATGGTAATGGATGCGTGGAAAATCAAATGGGGTAGAGGGCAGTGGAGCTAAATTATGAAGAAAGACACACAACTGTAGGAAGCAGATGCACAAAAAGGAAGAAGAAGGCAGAAGAATGCCAGAAACCCAATGCGGTAAAATCCAAGACAACTTCCCCAAGAACGTCAGTTTATATTCCTCTGATCTTTCCTTGTTTACCAAGTATCTACAATGGACTAGAAACTCTGCTTACATAATATTGTTTAATCCTTGCAGCAACCCTGTGTGCTCAGCTGTTTTCTAAGTAGGGAGTCTGAGGCTGGGAGAAGCAAGTTCTACCTCTAGTAAATGACAAAGTCATAATTCAATTCCTATTTGTCCAACTTCAAAGCTCATACACTTTTCACTTTACCAATAGAATAAGAATAGTAATAGAGTAGCTCATTGATTCTTGCAAAAGGGAATGTTTTGAATCAATACTTCAATTTTACTATAAAGGCCACTACTAATAAAATGTATTTGCTTTAAGGACGATCCCACAAAAGGCCAGGAAAAGATGCTGTTCATTTTAATATTTCTTGTGAAATTTCCAACAGGGGGACAGTCTTTCTCAAAAATTTCATAGGATAGGGCACTTGGAAACAGGGGTTTTCATTATGAGCTACCATGAAAAATTGACATGAAAAATCCAAGATAAATATATAAACATAGACTTTGTGTTAAATTAGACATTGTTACATATCACATGCCAGATAGGAAGCACCATTTCTAATAAAACTTCGTGGGAGAAAGAAAACGAAGTCAGTAGCTACAAAGAAGCCATGCCTCATAAGCTTAACAACTGCCCAAGCACACTGCATTATTTAGGGGCCCACGGAGGAAGGGAGCCCCCTTTTTGCAGATGTGTATTTTTGTAGCACAAGCTTCTCCTTATGGGAGACGGAAGAGCAGTCCCTTAACATCATTCACTTGTGCTTTGCTTGTGCGCATGCTCAGCTTCGTGCACATCAGTCTGTGCTGTAAACGAGCCCCATTAGAAATAACACTGAAGTGCGCATGATAACCCAGGCCAGAGGTCAGCACACTGTGGCCCACCGGCCACACCTGACCCACCACCTGTTTTTTAAATTAAATTTACTGGGGTAACATTGGTTAATAACCAGCTGTTTTATATAGTCTGTAAGGTAAAAATTGTTTTTATATTTTTAAATGATTGAAAAATATCAGAAGAAGAATATTTTGGGATGTCAAAATTGGATGAAATTCTTTTGTGTCCATACATAAAGTTTTATTGGAACACAGCCACACTTAACTTTTTACATGTTGTCTATGGCTCCTTTCACACTACAATAGCAACGTTGAGTGGTTGTGACAAGGGCTAAATGGCCCACAGATATATATCTGGGTGTTAACAGATGAAAGTTTTCTAACCCATCCCAGTCTTGGTGGTGGTGTCTTGGGGTCTGTTGTTTTTAGCTTTTAAATCTGGTTTAACTTATGGTATTGTGAATTGTTTTGTTATAAGTCAACAACGATTCAACTGAACAGAAATCATCATCCTGGGAGCTGTAACAGAAATGTAGGAAGCTGAGACCCAAGCTTCCTCGCATGTGTGCACAAGCATGCAACACCATTCACAAATAAGAATTGTGTTGCATGCTTGTACACACATGCACACACACATGTGCAAGTTAGAACAGACATTGTACATATCAGCACAGAATCGCAAAATGGAAGAACTGGGGTAGAAAAGGGAGAGAGGATGGGAAACTAGCTGAGCACAAACGTGCCAGAGGGATACAGAGCAAATGATCAGAATGAGATGATCCGAGGGTAATACTCAGAGGCAAGGAGTTTTGAAGAAAGGAAGAGACCTTTTGGTAAAGTAGAAAAATAAGACAGTCAAGAGTGTCATAAATGCAGGGGTGGGGAAGTGACATTTGAAGGAAGGGAGGTATTACATCTCTAACCAACTAAAAGCCCATGTGTTTCTTTCTAGATTCATTATGGCTGAACTACTCCAGACAGAGAAGGCTTATGTGAGGGACTTACATGAGTGCTTAGAGGTAAGTCTTGCAGCAATCAGTTCATAGCTGTATTAGAAAAATGACTTCCTTGCCAGCGTCAAGGCCTTGAGAGGAGCTCAGTGCTCTTTGTCTTCTCCCAGAGCTTAACGAATAAAAAGCCAACCAGAGGAAATCTTTGTCCTGGGCTCAATAGTAATTGCATGGGAGATTAAAGTACTTTTGAAAAGAAACTTTCCTCAGACTCAAGCTAGACCCAGCAAAAAAGTATGTAAGACACTTGAGTTCAAAATAAAAACCATGACGCAGTCAATGAACTTGAGTCTGAAAATCTGCATCCGCCCACCCCAACACACATTCTGACACGCACACGTTTAATAAATAAGAAGTGTGTGGAGGTTATACTCCTGCGGAAGGTCAGGATGTGTTTCCCTAGCAGCAGTTCAAGATAATGAAACATTCAGGATTTCCCTTTTTCCATTCTGCTTATTTACCACCTCACTTTTTTACACATTCCACGCGTTTCAGCCTTACCCCACAAGTTTGAAGGCCCATTGATTTTGTCTGTATTTCATGCGGCAATTCTTGCCAGTGATGAAATTGTTGCTGTTTTCCAGACCTACCTATGGGAAATGACCAGTGGTGTGGAGGAGATCCCCCCTGGGATCCTTAATAAAGAGCATATCATCTTTGGCAACATCCAGGAGATCTACGATTTTCATAACAAGTAGGTTGGTGGAGGGTTCAAACGGAGCACACTTAGTGCAATACGTACCCACGAACAGGGCTTCCCAATAAACAGATCAAAACTGACAATCAGTGTTAATTGTTAAACCTCACCTAGTAAATTAGTACCTGTGAAATTTTCTATGTCAGTTGCTGTCAGACTTTTTTTTTCTCATTCACCCACCTTTCTCCACGATTGTCCAAAATTCCTAGTGGAAAGTGAAGTATCTAGCAGTGTTCCTCTAAGGAGCTAACTGGCAGCATCTTCATACCCAATCAGAATGATAACCAGGCTTTGGGGAAACAAAAGTAGCTCCTCCTTAAAACTGTGGGGAATCCTGACAGTAGAATTTGTCTCAGGCTAAACTTCCTACCTTGTGGCCCTTAGGTTTCAAATTCCATTGAAGTTTTCTTTCAACCTAAATATTTCCTCCATCCCCAACTATGCTATCATCCCCACTTTCAACCAAAACAACATAGAAAATGTAGGTAGGTAGATAGATAGATAGATAATCAAAATACCTAACAGGACACATGTTTTAACAGCTTATAGGGGAGAACATCAATTGACTCTGTTTTGTTGAAGTAAGTAGAATCGTAGAGCCCTAAAACCCCTAAAACCTCACAACTCATTTTGTCCAGCTCCCAATTTAGTTTAAGTATCTTTTCCACAGCCCACTAAACCACATATTCCATGGTTAGCAGAGGGTCAGCAAGAACATTGGTTGATTAGTTTATGTAACCAACTAATAGAAATAACTCAGTTTCTAAAAGACAAATGGGGTGAGAATTTAGGGGAAAAAATTCTCCCCCACAACCAGAATCCTTCTTTGAAAGATCTGTCTGTAAACATTTTATATGTTTATGAGGAAACCTGAAGAAGTTAATGACCCATATGAAGTATGCAAATTTTTGTAATCCTGTGATTAAACCAATCCTAACTAGGATAACTAGGTTGAAAAGTGTCTACACTGAAATGTATGTCATTACTGAATACGACTGAAATCTATAATAAAACCCAGTAAGATAATGTCATCCAAGAAATCAAAATAAAATTAAAAATTAAAAATCAATCAAATAGGGAATTTCAAGACACAAGGAGTATATTGGTATTAAGTCGTAGAGCTCTCTCCGGACCTTTTTCCAGAGAAGAGATAAGAGGTAGAGGTTCAATGTTGTGGGATACAATTCAGAGGAAGTCCCAGGGTCAGGCTAGTCAAGGCTTTTACTGAGGTAAGCAGTCGTGCTGGAGATAGAACTGCCCAGTCCAAGAGTTGCTGAGAAGGCCAAGTGTCCATGTGTAGCAGCCAACCTGAGGCAGGACTCTAGAACAGCGCTGCCCAGTAGAGCTTTCTTCAGTGATAGACATGTCCCATGTCTGTGCTGTCCAATACAGTAGCCACTAGACACGTGTGGCTATTGAACACTTGGAACGTGACTAGTACTACTGAGAACTGAATTTTTAACTTTATTCAATTGGATAGATTTAGTTGGCAGGTGGCTACCATATTGGACAGCCCAGCTCTAAGAGATGAGACCTCAGACTGGCCCTTTGCTAAGAATGACTAGGAGGCAAGCAATAGTGGGTGTAAAAGGATCCTGAGTTCCAAAAGGTCTAGATAAGTTTCCTCTCTTGTCAACTCCTGATGATGAATCCCCTGCTATGTCATCAAATGGCATCGGTTTAAAGAGAATATAAAATGTGTAGCTCCCATAACATGGTAACCTTGTCAGATTATGAAAACAGTAAGCTCTTGGACGGGGGGGGGAAAGCCCTTCTAACTTTCTGGAGAACTTAAGAGTTCCCAGTCTTTTTTATTTTATTTTTTCCACAAATTTTAGCACTCTCCATTTGGTTTGTCTGGAAATCTCCAGACATAGAAATAGTCTCTCCTTATGCCTTTTTAATAAGACCCTAATAAAGCCATTTTTTACCATTGATATCAAATTCTGTCATCTGAGCCCAGCTCAGCACTATCCCACTTCCCCAGACATGGGACTGGTGAGCTATAATCATGTTGCTTTGCTTTTCTGATTTATGATCTCTGGGATGAGTCAACAAGTCTCACTTTTCTCATCTCAGCAAATTGGCTAAGCATCAAAGTGGAGAAGTCAAGAGATCACAGCGTGCCCTCCCTGTGAGCCCTGCTTTTGCCAAATCAGTGTATAAAGGGAAAGGATATTCATTTCAAAATTGATCGATTGTAGCAAACTATCTACCATAACCGTGTCTCTTACCTCGTTTCACGATATCACCCTAGTAAGCTACAGTAAGCAGTTTGGTAGTTTTTTACATAGCTGAAAATTAATCTACCAATTACAAAATATAGTTCTAAGAAGCCCTTTAACAAGGTCAAGTTAAACCATATAGAATACTGCACTCTGTAGAGGCATAAATTCAATTGTCAAGAACACAGCTACTCAGCAAATGTTGCCTATTTGTAACATTATAAAGAAACAAGAAGAAAATAAAAACCAGCCTCTGAGCAACCAAAAGAGATATCACAAAGATAAAGTTTTTATCTTTTCTCAGAAGCACTTTTCGATTCTCTCTAAAAACCATTTACCTCTTGGTTGGATTGTTTCAAAGCCCATAGCAATTTAGAAGGAGCAAATAAGAATCAAGAACAGTTTGAGACCAGCAGCATAAAGTAAAACCTGACAGGGAAGCAGACAAACTGCAATAAAAATAGGCAAAAGAACCAAAAAAAACAAACATAGCGGTCAAAGGCTACTCAGTATTGGAATGAAGGATCCTGTATTCCGATATAGAGCCTAGCACAGCCACTGTCTTAAAGGATAGCACAATAATCAATGTTAGTAATAACCCTGAATCATTTATATATGCTGCATTAAAAAGCAAGAGACCCTGTAATGCATTTGGAAAGCTATCCACCAAAAAAAAAAAATTTGATATTTTAAATTACAATTTCAGGGAACATCCAAGAAAATCAAGCTGTATATTAATTCCCTACAGGACCTTGAGGGCTAAGGCTTTACTCATAATGTATGCTTTCTGCTTATGCCATACAACTTTTTATTAATGGAGAAAGCATAACACCTCTACAACCTCTAATCAATAAGAGATAAAATGGCAATTAAGGCAATGTTGAAAATGTAGGACCTGTGAACTCCATAAGAGACCCTGTCTTTCACTGCATAACCCCAGTGCCTGGCACACAAGAAACTTTAAGTAAATATTTGTTGGATGGATGGATGGATGGATGGATAGATTAAAAATAGAATTACTGTTTGCAGACTTATGGCTAATGTCTCAAGTCATAATTCAGTCTTTTGTGAAAGTCTCAAGACAAAGGAAACCATTAGGTATGATTTTTTCACCCCCCATCACTACCAGAAGCTTCTAGACCAGCAAAATAATTGACTATCAGAATGAAAGAGTTTCCTGGGAGCTTCTTAATGGAAGGACCATACAATGATCCAAACACCTGTTTGCTCCTCAGGGCTCTTTTTCTGAACTCATCATTTTTTAACCTGAAAATTTCCGAGGATTCTTTTTAATCACCATTGTTTGCATCTTTCCCAAGTTACAATTAAGTGCTATCTAACAGAGAAACATACTCCTCTCATTTCTAGTGCATAACTCAGATTACCTGCCTCTACTCCAGAGATGGAGGGAGGGAGGGAAGCAGAGAGGGGCACCGAGGTTGACTGAGAGGCAGGGGGTTGAGACTGACACTGCCTTGATAACCCAATCAGCGGAGTCATTAGGAAATTAGTACCTAGACCAAGGGTGATATGGTATCGATCCTTTTAAATGCTGTCATTTTGAAAAATGACAACCAAGATTAATTTGTGTGTGTGTGTGTGTGTGTTTCAGAAATTCCCAAGCACCAAAATTTCTATAAAGAAGAACAATTCGCTATGTAGAATTGAATACCTACAAGTAGCAGTTTTAACCCAAATTGGAGGTTCAAATGCAATGCTACTTCATTTTAACCCTCCATTTTCCACATTTTTGTATTACATCTCTTCAACAGAACTAAATATAAAGATCATGAAACTTACCTGTACAAGAACTAGATCTACTTTTGTTGCATTTTGCTAAGCACTCCAGGAGCACTCAGATGAGATAGTCTATTCCATAAATAGATCCCCCACACACTCATGCTTCTGTTAACACAGTCTCCTCACTTTGGCTAACCCAGGGGTTGGCAAACTGCGGCTCGCGAGCCACATGCGGCTCTTTGGGTACGTTCCGTCTCAAAGTTTGCTGACCCCTGAGCTAACCTACAACTGGTAATTCAGGAAAATCATTTCTTCTCAGTTTGCCTTGATTATTAAGAGTTTTCAGCTTTGGTGATGACAGCTGTTTGTTTAAAATACTCATCACCTTCAGTTAAATCCGAACTTTTTCCATTTCAGTCATTTGAAGAGGTGGTCATATTGAGTCTGAGCAATCACATTTTTATGAGGTCTCTGCTGTCAGGGCTCGAAGGGTCTTCTACACCATCAAGTACAACCATGTCCGTTTACAGATAAGGACACTGAGACCCAGAGAGGACTTGCCTAATGTCCCCCCCGCCCCCCACCTCACCACCCCCAGCTTTAAAGATTCCCAGGATTTGGTCTCCCAAATCAGTGCTGTCTCCCCTCCCCCCACTCCATAGACCACAGTGGGGACCGCCAGGTGTGGTTGGTTTGATTCATACCTAACCAGCTTTCTTTGGATCCCCAAATTTGAGGACCACTTCAATCTATTTCTTCCACACTTATGTCATTCAGGTCCTATACCATTATATTAATTACCTGAAATGAATCAGTTTCCATACACACACACACACACACACACACACACACACACACACACACACACCCCTTGCTTAAAACAGGCACATTCCCTGTTTTCTATGCTTTTCCTCCCCGGCCCCACCCTCCACCTTCCAAATGCCTTTGGTATTAGTTTTATCCCATTTACAGAAAACCATAGAACAACAAAATATAAAAGCCTAGAAAACCTTTAAAGATAATCTATTCTAC